ACAACAACAACAACAACAACCACCACCAATTGATATTCGAGGGCCGCCTAACATGCAGGCTTCGTTACCGAGACTGTTCCAGCAAGGACCCCCGGACGCCTCACCATATCCATACCGAAGGCCAGACGATTCCGCATCTCGGCACGGGTCGTATATTCAGTCCGGCGCACCATCCATGCCCCAACAGGCTGGCTACGCCCCTCCTTCAGTGCCCGGAGCCCCTTCGCCTTATGCTTCCTCTGCTCGCCCCTCGATCATGGAGAATCAACCAATGACTTCCCCAAAGTCGCAAAGGAAAACTAAGGGCCATGTTGCTTCTGCATGCGTCCCTTGTAAACGAGCGCATCTCCGGTAAGGCCTCTCCTCTATTCACCCATCAGCTAGACATGCTAATATTCCACTAGCTGTGATGGTATGTTTTCAAACGATTCTTTTTGGCGGTTTTGTCCTTTCCCCTACTCTCATCTGTTGTGGAAGCGACCAAAACCTTCCCATGTTACTCCGAATGGCAGGACGTTGGTGGTGATAAAAAGACATGAGCGGCTGGCCAACGTCCGGTGATGCTCTGGCAATGTCAATTGCTCGAGACGACACGGGCCCAGGTCCAATCCACCTCCGCTGTTAAGGGTTCAATATCGGCATGAATTTGTGGCTAACTTCTGATTCTAGCGCAACGTCCATGTTCGAGATGTATTACGAACGGAAAGGAAGAATCTTGTGTCGATGTTCAACATAAGAAGAGGGGACGGCCACGGTTGAGAGATGACCGCGAAACCCGCTATGATCCATCGAGGTTCCCTCACCCACAAGACGCTACAGCGAGACGACCACTCAGCATATACCCATCAGGAGTTCCAATGGGACCTGGGTAAGACAAACCATACATACTGTCGACCACTTTGGGCATGCGCTAACCGTTCGAAATCAGAGAGCATATGAACCCACGATTCCCCGAGCGAACACACAACATGGAAGCTTCCGCCTACCCACCACCTCTACCGACCGGTCCTCGAGGCGTCGATCCCGTTGCTTTTTTGAATATGAAAATGGATTTTGCAAAGGCATCACCTGCCTTTATGGAGGCTATCGGCCAAGCAGAGCTTCAGGGGCAGAACCTAGTCGATGTGGTTGTACTAACAGAGAGGGAGAAGGTGACATCGATTCGGAGCCAGTTGATCGAAGAACAGACACGAAAGGAGCCGAACTACTTACCGCCTATCCTTGGTCGACTTGACCGTATTCTTCAGGGGCTTGGTTTTGGAGCGGAGGAGATTGGGCGATTCCAGCTCGACCGACATGAGTACCTGACTTTCAGAGCTGCCGACGGCCAACCTAGGCAGTACCCCATTCAACTTGGCCTTGCAAAGGAGGGCACGATCTACTTTATCGTCATGGTGCTCAACGTGCCAGTCCGGCATGCTTATCCTCTACCATCTTCGCCTGCTACAAGAGAAGCGGCCCACGCGTATTCGTCTCAGCCACCCACCCCACAGTCTGTATACAGAACACCCGCTCCACCTGGGACTCCTTTCGATATGGCAAGAGGCCGGTTTAACGAAGCACCGCTGGTATCTCGTCCGGCTTCGGGTCCCTCAATACATTTGCCTCCCAGCACGAACCCTGGAATTGCCCCTGGCGCAGCATCGTACGCGCCATTACCAGGCCATACGGAATACGGAGGACCGCCGCCATATAATGTCCCTCGGAGCGAACTACCTCCTGCGACTGCATATCGTCCTCAAGCAACATTTCAACTTCCACCTATCCGGGCCCAGCCCGAACAGTCTGGATCGCGGCCTACTGAAGAGCAGAAATGGACACACGAGGATCGACCGACGCGGGTTGATATTGGCGGCTTGATCGATAAGCCTGATAAGCCAAACCAGTCACGATAGAGTCAGTGTTGATCTGAACTCGAATTCTGTTTGTCCTGAGTGGTGGACTAGAGACAACGATGGGGTTTTACGGCTGAGCAAGACACCCTTGCATAGCACATTGTTTGATTTTTATTACTTCGATTTTGATGCGATGGGATCTCGCGTTGATGAGAATACCACGTGTACTATATCCCTGTTATTATGATTGTGTCTTCCATGTTATTTTGCTTCTGTGAACGAGATAGCTCGGTTGGAGGGTGGCATTGTTGAGGGCATACGGCGCATTCGCAGCCGGCGGCGTTAAGGATGGCAGGATGAAGACTAGCTGTACAAGTCTAGAACATCCCAGAAGTTGAGCGAGTTCTGATTCGATGCAGGCCATTAGGCAAATGTGTATGATTGAGGAACTGAAAGACGAGATGCATTGGTACATTGGACGATGTGACGAGTTTGAGCGTTGAGGCTGATCGAGGAAATGTTATAATGGAAGCGGAGAACTATAGAAGTCAGATAACGTGAAGCAGCGTTGATAAAGTAGAAGAAGGAAAGAAGCCAAGTTGAACAGCAGGAAACATGCAATTCGGTGCAATTGAGATGTGTGATGCCAGGTGCTGGTGACACAGAGGCGAAGCAAGCATCCATTGATGGAAGTTGTGTATGACAGTGCGTACAGCAATGGACAAGGATCCCAAAGCCAGTTGGAACCAGGAATAGTGATAATAGTGTACGATATTGGGAGAGGACGATCCAATAAAATGACGCGCTGGCCGACCAAGTGTCCAAATCTGGCTTGTAGGTTCATATTATACCACTCAGCATAAGGTAGTATAGTACAGTACTGTATCCGTATACACATCATACATCATGCATGTATTGTCCATTTTCGCAGGGGTTTCCTTGGGGGCGTGTAGATTAGATTGAAGCGACGATCAAGTTAAGTTCCCGCCCGTTCATCCCATATTATTTTTAATTCTCCGAACCGTTTGATCTTCGCAGAACGTCCGCGTCCGCGCTGCCCGCCCCTCCAGAGCCAGAAGCTGGACGACTGACTGTTCACGGAGGTTATTCCGACCCCCCGATATGGATGTCCGTGTGGCTGTGGCGGTGCTTTATGTACACTCTCTACTGTACGGTGTTATGCAAGGTAAGTAAGTACAATACCTGCTTGTTAGATCTACATGACTTGACAAGATCAGCAGTGTTGTAGAATAAGTCGCATTTTATAAGTAAGAAAGGTTATAACGAATCCTGCCAATCTGATATGATTTACCCTAATGCCTGTAATATACCCAACTTGATGTGATGATCTATCTATAGGAAGCAATTTGTCTATTCCCAAATTCGACGTGCGCCCCGTTGCGCAATAACCAATAACCAATACCCATACCATACAAACAATAATGCAACCAAGAACTCAAATCATCGATGGAGTGAAGTTCGTTTGTTGGTACATTTCTCGTCTTGCGACGTACGACTTTATGCCTTGTCTTTGTCTTCGTCTTTGATGCACCCAGTCTCTTTCTTTTTTTGTAAAATGGACAGTCCGTCTGTTGTTCCCGATTCAGATTTATCGAGCGTAGGATGGTCTAGGCATTTGAGCTGGAAGCTTGTCGCCCTGCTCCCAAATCTCATCGATTTCTCGGCCAAGGTCGTCACTGTTTGCTGGAGGCTGAGCATTGCCGCGGGTACGCAGATCTTGGACAGCGGTATGGTCACGACGTCCGGCGCCGGCGACAGTGGGGTCGGAGACGGGACGTGGAGAGTGGGGCCGGTTCGAGGAGCCGTGGGTGGCCCTGAGAAAAGGAAAAGGAGTCAATACAACATTGTAAGAAAGGGAAGTAATGAAAGGAGAAGCGAACGTAAGATGGACTTACCTGTTTGAGGAGTGAGAGTGAGACATATTGAAAAATGATGAGCGAGGTAGGGTATATGAGGTAAGGAGGGTAGGAGTAGGATGTGAAGGATCGATCTCTGATGGATGGGACGGTAACCTTGCAGGATTGGTGATGATCAAACAAAATAGCAAGAACTGTAGTGATGGGGATGGAAACTTTAAGTAATGGATTTCTGCGAGTGTACTCGAGAGTCCAGCGAAGCAGGTTGTAAGTGATAATGGTTGGTATCCGGGTAGTAAAGGACTGTAGACAAGATGGCGGCGTCCTGATCTTTATAGACCGAGAAACGTCAAGTGTCTGGCGAACCAGCGAACCATTGCCTTCTGTAGGTACCGTACCTGCATCATTTAGGAATATCCGTACCGTCCTGTCACTTTCAACCTCAGTTAGCATGTCTTCGCATTTAGGTAAAGTAAAGTCAGAGAAACGAAATGGATATACGCTAATGCATGGTTGATTTGCTACACTGTACATTGGGATCTGGTCCCCCAATTCACAAAGTGCATGTACAGTACAGTACAGAGACCCTTGCTTGTCTCACACAAGCCATCCATCCCATCCATCTCTTGAAAAGAGCCTAATAGGCCCCAGGCTTACAACTAGGCGGTATTACTGCGGTGCCGGGTACTACGGAGAGGGCTTATTTAGCTGCTGCATTTCTGCGCAATTCAGAAAATGATAGGCACAGCGCATTTGCAAGCTCATGTTCCTGCATTTGTGCGCATACAGTCAGTACATTATCGAGTACAACACCATCATGTGTGCCTTTCACGACGATACCTTGGCCGTTGAGTTTCAACGTGAGCGCACAGACTTGTGGCAAATTCCTAAGTTTAGGTAGTCGACGTGGCAGATGAGATGAGAGAACTCGCAAAATACAAACGAAATCCCTGGCGCGTGGTAGTTTTCTCTTCTGTTTCCCCTTCTCACGGGCGACATCAAGGGACAGTGCTGCACCTAAAGTTAGCCCCAGGCAGCCAGCACTTAAGAAGAATAGGAGACCGCATTGGGATAAGATACGCGTAAGAACAAAATAATCGTTCGTATCTCGACTCAGTTCCACGTGAAAACGCCAAGGGACATTAAAGTGATGACGTCCAGGGTGCGCCCGGGTTAGGTAGTCAAAAGTCGAGTCATCTGGTGGTTTAGGATCCATGAAAGTGAAAATGAGAGAAGAATCATGGAAGCATCAGCCCCTGAGAATGAGGCTTGGCTTAAAAGCACCCCTGACCAGTGGCAGAGCAAAGAATCTTCAAGAAAGAATTGGATGTCATAGGACCTAAAGATGAGAAACTGGATTTAATCAGAAAAGAAGGCAGTTTAACTATCATTTTCCATGTGTCATTTTCGAGGCGGTGTTGCAGGTCCGGACCGTTTAGTGAACGCCCAGCGAAAAGCCCTACGAAGCCCGGAGAATTAGGTAGTGAATCATGGCTGTGTCTACAGTACTACAGCCACTAATAGTCCGCATCACAGCCCGTACTGCGATTCACAAACAATGGCCCGTCCATAATTCCATGACATGGATGGGACGAAAGATGACGCAAAATGGAAATTCAGGAACGATAACCATCATTTTACGCTTGTTTTGCCTTACCGGGCTGAATTGATTAAAGTTGACCCCCGTGAATCAGCCCGGACCTCAACCTTGCTCGGGTTGACTGACTTCAAGTGCTTGCTGACCGGACCGAGACTCTCAACTTTGGTCGCCTTACGCGCGTCTATGTACGCTGACACCAACAAATTCACGGAAACGGAATTGACGCTGTTCCAATGACTCGTCATGTTCCTTCAATTGTAATTACCCTGATCAGGTCCCGTTGACTCACAACCTGAGGCGCCCCCAATATTGCAACCGTGAATATCAGGTTGCTACTCCGTACAGTACATGAAGTAACACCGCCCGCCGCACTTGTCATTCTAGGGCGAACAGAACCCCTGTCCTCTTTCTTTGTAAATTCAGAAATGAATTAGCCTAGATTTATTCGACGTGTATTTGCTTGGCGTTAAATACAGAAAATACATTTCAGGGCGTATTTGATACTGATCGTTTCGTTAAGATGGATGGCGAGGAAGGTGCAATGCAGTGGTACCGATCAGTCACGTGCTTCCGCGTCAATGTTAGCGGTTTGCACATCACCCTGTGAGGCCCTCGACATAGGAACATTCTATTGTTCGCCTGTCCTTGTCCCGCATGAACCGTTCTCCTCGCCTCTTCAGCGTATCGGATTGAAGAACAAATTGCCGACATCATCGTTGATCACTGTCGGTTTCTGAGCGGTTCGTCAGAGGCAGAAATGGGACTAAACACCTAAGTTAACGCATCCGACATAAGAGAAGAGGAATCTATTCTACCGCATGACCTCAAAAACCTGTGTCACCCTTCTTTTCGCCTATTTTGATGCGCAAGTTTCTTGAAAGCCACGTCATAGGTTTACACATGCGCCTGCGTTTGGGAACTTCATTGCTATAGGCTGCGAAATGGCGACAGACGCAGACATTGATATGGGAGGTGTCCCAAGCGCCGATGAAGTTCATAATGTCGTACCAAGTGGCACAAAAAGGAAAGCCGAAAGGCTGTCTGAAGGGTCTGGTGCGCCTCGCAGAATCAAGGTAGGCCAAATCGAGGCAGTTTCGTCAACACCTCACGCATGCGCTGCGCCTGCTTCAGCCCGCTAACAGAACTCAGGCACTCGACCCAAATGTAGTCAACAAAATTGCGGCCGGTGAAATCATTGTGGCTCCTGTACATGCGCTCAAAGAACTCATTGAGAACGCCGTCGATGCCGGTGCTACATCTCTTGATATCCTTGCCAAGGAGGGTGGGTTGAAGTTGCTCCAGATTACAGACAATGGCTGTGGCATCCAAGTGAGTATACTGACTTCGCCCCTCCAGCCAATATCGCAGGGCTAACTTGACGATAGAAAGAAGACTTGGCCATCCTTTGTGAACGCCACACAACATCCAAGATCTCCACCTTCGAGGACCTGTCTGCCATTGAGACATATGGCTTCCGTGGTGAGGCGCTTGCCAGTATCAGTCACATTGCCCATCTTACCGTCACAACCAAGACGAAAGATTCGGACCTTGCATGGAGGGCACACTACCATGAAGGGCAACTCGCACCAGCAAAGCCCGGTCAGTCAGCAGAGCCCAAGGGTGTGGCAGGCCGTCCAGGGACACAAATCACAGTGGAGGATCTTTTCTTTAACCTAGGACCCCGGAGAAAGGCGTTTCGCTCGCCCTCGGAAGAATTCAACAAGATCATAGACATGGTTGGTCGGTACGCTGTGCACTGTAAAGGGGTTGGTTTCACGTGCAAAAAGGCGGGCGAAGCCTCAACGAATCTGTCAATCCAGGCCCACGCTACCGTTATTGACCGTATCCGTCAGATCCATGGTAGTGCCGTGGCAAACGAGCTTCTGGAGTTTTCGGTTTCTGAGGCCCGATGGGGTTTCAAAGCTGACGGTTTTACGACCAACGCAAACTACTCAGTTAAGAAAACAACAATTTTGCTTTTCATCAATCACCGATGTGTTGAGTCGACTCACATCAAGAAGGCAGTAGAGCAAACCTATGCCAACTTTTTGCCGAAGAACGGTCACCCCTTTATTTATCTAAGTCTTGAAATCGACCCAGCTCGTGTAGATGTCAACGTTCATCCCACCAAGAGAGAAGTCCATTTTCTCAACGAGGATGAGATCATCCAATCAATATGCGAAGCGATCGAGGCCAAGCTCGCCGCAGTCGACACGAGTAGAACATTCATGACGCAAACACTTCTTCCTGGCGCAAAAGCCACCGAATCTACTCTACAAAGCGAGGGCGACGGTACACCTAGCAGAAGAACTCCAGCGTCAAAGAAGCGAAGATATTCCAACGACTTGGTAAGGACGGATACGGCTGAACGGAAGATCACGTCCATGTTTTCTCGAGCTGGCCCAAGCGAGTCAACAGGCTCGATGGATCAGGCAGCTGATGTTATGCCTGCCTCTGAACCCCTCGAATACGAGAGGGTAGACCGCGAGATTGTCCAATGTCGGCTGAACAGTGTAAAGCAAATGAGGGAAGAAGTACGGGAAGACATACATCACGAACTGACCGAAATTTTCGCCAACCACACTTTCGTCGGTGTTGTGGATGAACAACGCCGGTTAGCAGCCATTCAGGGGGGCGTCAAGCTGTACCTCATCGATTACGGTCGAACTTGCTACGAGTATTTCTACCAATTGGGGCTCACAGACTTTGGCAATTTTGGTACCGTCAAATTCACCCCTTCGCTAGACCTTCGCGAACTGCTCCAGACAGCAGCCGAGATGGAAAAGAGCTTGATCACCTCACCAAACGAGGATTTTGAGGTCGATGCTCTGGTAGATCGCGTGGCAGACCAGCTCATCGAGCGTCGTGAAATGCTCCTTGAATACTTTTCCCTAGAGATATCGCCTGCTGGCGAAGTCATCTCAATACCGCTACTCATTAAGGGGTACACACCACCTCTTGTTAAGCTTCCTCGCTTCCTCCTCCGCCTCGGACCTAGTGTTGACTGGACAGAAGAGAAAGCTTGTTTCGATTCATTTTTGCGAGAATTGGCAACATTCTACGTTCCAGAGCAACTACCAACTTTACCTGGCGATGCGGATAGTCTGCGAGAAGAAGTTATCTCAAACGAGCTGCGCGCCCGTCGCCAGCACGTAAGACATGCTGTTGAGCATGTGTTCTTTCCGGCCTTCAAGGCGAGATTGGTGGCGACCAAATCACTGATGGAAGACGGAGTGCTCGAAGTTGCTAACTTGAAGGGTCTTTATCGGGTTTTTGAACGGTGTTAAGAAGGATATACTATTGCTTCATATTGGAGCCGGCGATTGTTACTACGGGTTAATTCAATTTCTTGAAACCATACTATATGGGAGCTGGTGCTGGGATCCATACAATCAGATTACAAGAAATTCAGCACAAGAACAGTTTAGGAAGTTCACATCTGATGAATCACGTTGTGAACCAAGATAGAGGTGCAATATACAGGAGTCTGGGAATAAAAAAATCCAATTGCTTTTATTTAACCATTTACGCCTCTGGCTTGTTCTTTCGCTTGTATGTCAAGAAACGATTCAGGTTCAACACGGCCTCATCAGCACGCAGACGCAGCTCACTGCTGGCACGCTTGTCGATGGCCTTGACCATGGCGCGGACCTTGGGAAGAGCCTCATCCAGATGCTTCAAGAAGTCGTTCTTCCAGAAGACTTCCTTCTCGTAAGAGTAGCTCTCATCACCGTAAATATCAAAGATCTGGTTGAGGGCCTCAACTGCATCAGCAGTAGATGTCTCAGGCAGACCAGCAAGGATAGTGATCAGGAAAATACCGATATCACGGTTTCGGTCAGCGGGTGCGGGTTCAAGAGCGAGTTGTCCAAGGACACCAATACACTTGACGCTGAGGGACTGGAAGGGGTCCTCCATATCCTGAACAGCAGGTGAGCCCTTTGTGGCTTGGTACAAAGCGATGAAGCGACGGTGCTCGGCCGCGAAAGGCGTGTTGGGTCGACCTCGAAGAGAGCGGGCAACACCCCAGGCAAGGCTGGTGATGTGAGTTGCAAGCTCAATATCAGCAGTGTCGGTCGCCAGAATAGGGGCGATGACCTGAGTCCAGAGAGCGCGACCAACAGGATCCCAGGCGTTCTGGATAGGGGCGTTGTGGGCGTCGGCGAAGTCGATCAGGGAGACAGACCAGGCGATGTTGTTGAGGGCGGCGAGGGCGTGGCCTTGCATACGAAGGGACGTATCGTCAGTGGGTGAAAGAGAAGCTATGCGGATGAGTTCGGGGAGGGCGTTGTCGATAAGGGTCTTGAGAATGGGGAGATCGTCGATGTTGCTGTCCTCCTCATTTCTGTCAGCACCGGTAACCAACTCCATATCAGCCTCGAGCTCATCGTCATCCATTTCCTCCTCCTCTTCACCTCCCTCTTCCTCGCCGTCAGAAACATCCTCATCGGCATCAGCATCGGCATCGGCCATATCTTCGTCGTCCTTGGCCTCAGACTTCTCTTCTGTCTGTGGCTTAGCCTCAGCTGTGTTTAGTGTTGTTCCAATGGAGGCGAGAATTTCAAGGGCGAGCTGCTGGTACTCGAAGGGGTTGGCCCAGCCGACTCCGTCAGACATTTGACCAGGCTCGTAAGCCTTGAGAGCCTGTGAAAGAGTTGGAATGAGGAGCGAGTTGTCGGCTCCAAGAGCAATGTCCTGGTCCTCGAGTGAGGAAAAGAGGTTGTGAAGAACACCACAAGCGAGAACACCGTCACTGTTGGCCGTCTTGCGCAGAGACAGCAGGGTACCGTAAGTGCGATGCTGCTTAGTGTTGACAACAAGGTCAGAGAGCTGTTCGTTATCCTCGCAGAGAATCATGAGGCAAGCAAGAGCGTCGCTTCTTAGTGAGACGATCTCAGGGTTGCTGGCAAGCTCGTCTGAAGTGAGCAGGAAGAGAAGGCGGATGATGGTGGCGTTGCGGGAAATGGCTTCAAGGATCTCATCTTGAGCCTCGGCGAGAGCTGTGAGGAGGGAGATGAGTGATGAAGCGATGCTGAGAATAGTTTCCTGCTCGGGCTTTGAACGTTTTGAGAACTCCAGATCCTTGGACAATAGAATCTCAGTGACCTAATTTTACATCAGTTTTTGTACCTTGATCATGAGGCAGGATTGCGACATACCGACTTGACAGCGAACTCAATCGCAGTAAGAATATCAACACGGTAAAGATGAACACAGAAGTCAGGCTCCTCCTCCTGGGCAAGAACCCTCAAGATACCCCAACCAGCAGCACGGCTCTCAAGCGCAGCATCGGTAAGAGTCTGCGTGGTGATAGTATGCACAATCTGCTCACGCAGGAGCAACTTGCGACATCTCTCATCCTGGATAATGTTTGAGACTGCAGCGGCAGCGGCAGAGCGAGACTTGGGGTCGGCGCTCTTGAGGTCGTTGATGACGGGAAGAATCTTTGACTCTCGCAGGGCTGCAAGTTCAGGGTCCGAAGGAGGTTTGACAGTTTTAGAGATGGGGTCTTTGCGGGCAGCGTGGCCTCTATTTCTGCGAGATTTGCCCATGTTTTATTATTCTGTGATCTTTCTTGTATCCAATATGAGAAAGATTGTTATGTGTCAGTATGAGTAAAAGTAGGTATGGTTTGCACTCTGCAGCTAAAAATTTACATGAATATTTTGCTACGGCGAATCTGCCCCACCATGAAAATGTTCCGACTTGAACCTTGACAAGGATTATTTAAGCTCAACGACCACATGCAATGTCTTAGTCTGAGAATTACTGGTTAAATGGGATTGGATATATCTGTGCCCAATGCTTCTAGAATAATATTGGGTATGAAACTGCCAAGACTGTTTAACTCTATTAGCTGTTGTAAGGCTGATCATTTCTTTAAAGGTGGTACATGGAAGCATGGCATGGATTGAATGGCATCTGGTCTTACAAGATACACTATAAGAGGTAATGACTGTGCAATATTCTTCAGTGTTGCTGGGAGACAATTGACGGATTGTCAACATTGAAGATCCAGCATCCAATTGAATTGAATCTTGGTTAGTGCCACTTTAGTACAGAACCTGAAACTCACCGGGAGCTCTCTCCAAACCACTGTAAGAGTTACAGATTGACGGCTCGCGGGTAGCAAAGCATGGAAGCACGAGCCACGCTGTACAGAACATCCATTGGAACCTAGCAAACAAGGGTCAGCGTCACTTCCGTCATCTTACAGTTCCAATTCCCCAACTCCATATCCATTTCCATCTCCATTCTTTATACAACTCTCCAAACTGTTTCTCTTTAACCCTCTTCGATCGCCAACTGCGATTGGTTCCTCTGCAGGTTAATCATCGCATGATTTATCCAGGTAGTTGAGTTCGCGCCGCGCCGACAAGCTACAACCAGTAGCTTCCATGAGCTCTACCGTTTCGCTCCTCCTCGACTGTTGAGCTCGAATATCAACCACAATGACACCGGCGCGAGGCAGAACGAAGGCGCGATTCTGGGCAGGCGATGAGGAAATGGCCAATAAGAAAGACGACGACCTTGGTGCCCCCGGCCATCATTATCAACCCAGACCTGGTGCTCATTGGCAATCAACGCCCCGCGCTCCTCGTCGCAGCTCCATCGGTCGCCTTATCGCATACCTTGTCTTCATATTGGTCCTCTTCTTCTTCGGCTACAACCTCTTCTCGTCATCTTCGAGCCGTTCGACCGATAAATCATCAGATCGCCCGGTACAGTTAGGGCACAAGCAAGGCCATGTCTATTACAAAGGACCTCTCAAGTTCCCCGAGCTCGCGGATACGTTGCGCAGTATTCAAGGAACCGCAGGCAGTTATGAACGAAACAGGAATATCCTCTTCACTGCCTCCAGCATCAACAGCGCCAATACTCTCCTACCAATGGCTTGCAAGATGGCGTCGCAAGAGAAGCACTATGTTCATTTTGCGCTTATGGGTAGAGACGAGATCTCAATCAAGGAGCTTCTCCAAATAAATGGGATCGACGAAAGTTGCAAGCTTTACATTCATGGTGGGAAGAGCTGTTTCAATGGTTTCAGCTCCTTTACTGACTGCCTTCATAGATGCCCGCACTGACTTTGCCTCTACATCATCTGAGATGAGACTGAGACTCGCTGCGCTTCGCGCATTCTGTAAGACCCCACACGTCGATGTTTCTCGTTTGCGCTCTTGTCTAACGTCAAATCACCTAGACTACATAAATAATTTCATGCATCCTCAAGCGATTATTGTCGACTCTACTTTTGCTGAAGACGATTACTTCCTTCAAGCAGCACGCGATCAGATTCGCGCGACGAGATCCGCGCTTATAGAATTGCCAGATAAGCCTGAAACTCGCCTTGCGTGGATCGCAAATTTGGACGCCATGGCCTTGTCTGGTAAGTACATCTCTTTTTCTCTTAGACAAAATGCTTACTCGTTTGTGCCAGCCTGGAACAAGGTGCATTTCGATATTCTAATTCAAGCACCTCCTGTCGGTACTGCCAACTTGCAGAGACTTCTCACTTCTCTCAGCAAAGCCGACAAGAGCGCTATAACCATTCCTCAACTTACAGTCGAACTGCCGCCGGTGGTGGAGAAACCTTTGGCTGGTTTCCTTTCCAACTTCCAATGGCCTTCTAAGGCTTCTGGCGCGCTACCGCAGTCGCAGATGCTCACGCTCCGCCATCGAATTGCTTGGCGCAAGATGGATGAAGAGGAGAGTTCAGTTCGATTTCTGGAATCTTTCTGGCCAGGAAACCCAAGGCAAAGTCATGTTCTTGTCTTAGCGCCTCATACAGAGGTTTCACCTCAGTTCTTCAACTGTAAGTAGTACATTGACACGCCAACTCGGCAATACTAACCTTTCCAGATGTCAAATACACTATACTGCATAGTCTGTACTCTCATTCATCAATTCTCCAGGACTGGAACGAGAATATCATGGGCATCAGTTTTCAGTCTCCCAAGACACTCCTCGATGATACAACACCTTTGACTGTCCCAGTTGCCGATGCCAAGGGCGAAAAGGATGGCGCCAGCCCGTTCTTCTGGCAGGCTCCTACAAGCGACGCAGTTTTGTTCACCGGTGAAAAATGGGTTGAGCTCCATGGCTACGTTTCGCGCGTACTAGAAAAACAACAAACAAGAACCGATACTCCAGCCTTCTTGGCCAATAAGAGCACAAGTAAGAAGCATCCGGCATGGCTGGAGTATGTACTTCAACTGTCGAAGCTTCGAGGATACGTGACGCTCTACCCAAGACCAGAGACAGCGGCAACGATATTAGGTGCGCATAGCGATTTGCCTAATACACCTGAGGAGTATCTGGGCGAGGAGACTAGAAGTCAGGAGAATGGGGAGGCGGACGAAGCAACATCCAGGTTCGACCCTGCTTCTCCTATTGATATGCTAGCGACATTACCTCGTGAGGGCCAGTTGCTATCGCTGGGAGAGCTACCACTCATTTCTTGGAGTGGAAAGCCTACGACACTTGAAGAACTCGAGTCGACCTCATTGGACCTTACAAAACAGTTCCGTCAAGAGGTCGGCGAATGTCCGCCCACTGTTGTAGATGAGGAGGACGAATTTGGACGACCTCAGCGCAACTCAGACGCCAGCGATCTTTTCTGCAAGAGCAAAGATGCAGCCAATGCAGAGACTGCGCCTGAAACCAAGGGCAGCGAAGAAACATCATAATGAAACGAATTAGCAGCCGGGTTCGGGAATTGGGCAGCTCTCATTTCTTCAGTTTTATGGGATGGAGTTTTGCATGGCAGGTTTGGAAGCTCAGGCGCTATGTTTGGGCGATGAAATATGTATTGATACAATGTCAAATGTTTCTTCTGAAAATATATGTTTGTGTTACGCATTGGAGGTTGACTCGCGGACTTTGGCAATGACTAGCAGGATGATACACGTTCCTATGATGGATACAGCCGTGAGACTGAATACCTGAACGTGACAATTTAGAACGACCTTTCAAACGTTTGGTGGACGGTGAGAAACTTACCGCATGTGTCTTCCAACCAATCTGTACGATGGCGGCCCGGTTACTGTACTTGTTTACCGTTCCTATATATGTCAACAACCGTGCATATACTTTCTCTTTGAGAACTTACTTATGTAATTTGCCATTCCCGCACAGAGCGTCATAACAGAAAGAGCCCAGAATATCGTACCGAGCGGCTTCGCCATGCGTAGTTCCAACGGTGTAGCCTCATTCTTGAGATGGAATGAGAGCGTGATGGCTACTGAGACGATGGCCATATAAACTGATAGTCGAAGATATGAGAGGAAAGCTACATCGTATACACATAAGCCTATTGTAAGTGGTGAAGCATGAGCATGAGCGTGTACTTCTCTCGTTGGCGCAGTGGTCACGCGCATCACTGCTTTCATTCTCAACTACCAGCGGACCAAAGATAGGCCAGTGAAAGAAGGGTCGTTCTCCCTCACTGCAGAGATTAGTCTATTTCGGAGGTGAAGCAAGCATTTTGGTGTCACGTACTCTAGTTCACTGAAATCAATAGGTCGAACCAAGTTCTGGATGGGCGCGCAGCATGCGTGTACAGTGAGATCCTCGTCATCGATGTTTGCATCAGGAGAAGTCATTCTATGAGATCTTGGATAATGATAAAGAGTCGGTGAGGTTTATGAAGATGATATTATGAGACAGGATGAGCATGTGAGGTTGAGATGTAAGTACCAGGTGATTGAGTCTGGTTGGTTGATTCCAAGATTTCGGGGCTATCGGGCGGATGGTGCAATTAAACCGATTGCCGGGGCCACCCTAGACCAGCATTATCAACAACAAAGATATATTGTTTATATGAGTATCAAGTTTTTTCAGTTTGATTAGAAGATTCAGTCTTTTGGGTAACTTTCATCGTCTCTTTTATGGCGTTCAAAGATATTTCAATCCCTCCTACAATATAAGGAGGACAAATTCCAGGTCTGATAGATGAAGCATTTACACCCCGTAAAGCAATAAGAAGAATTGACCGGCAAAAACATAAGAGATGAGATAGTTGAGGCATCTTATGGCAATTTAGAGAAAGTATTTAGGCTACTTTATTTTGGTGGTCTAGACCTTAGAGGATGTTTCTTCTGTTATCCACCTAGACACCCTCATCAACGATGTGTCATTTGCCCTAGAAACCCCAAACTTCATGCCATCTCTTCTCATCAGTCCTCAATGGACCATCGAGTCTTCCAAATCTCGCTGCCTTTCCCGTGTTAGCCTCAGGAAGACACAACCACTCCCTGACGACATCTGGAACCTCCTCCTTAACATGCGCGATGCAAATCAACGCCTGTTGGTCAGAGAGACCTGAGATCTTAACTTGACCGGACTTTGAGGCGTCACTCTCGACGATCTCTTCGCCTCGGCATGTCTTTGCCTCTCCTTGTTCAAGGAATAGCGTACATTTGTCCCGTACCGCATCGTCCATACCGCTGAATGCTTCATCAAGTACCACGACATCTGGGCTCTTAATCATGGAGCGGATGAAGAGTGCAACTCGTTGGGCACTGAAGGAGAGACCGCCAAACATATAATCATCTGCCCAAGCAAGGTTCTCATGAGACACTGAAGAATAACTTGGGTGTAACTCAGGTGCAAACCACTGAAGAGCAGCTTCAACCTTTTCCTTCGCAGTGTCATCCAACTTTGGCTTTGCGCGGAATGTGTCTGACCATGCATTCTCGATGACCTGGCGTATAGTCAGGTTTCGAGGCATATGCTGATGAACTTCGGGACTGGAATGTCCAATCCTTGATTGGATATCCCAGAATGTGAGCGGTCGTTTACCAGAGCCAGGCTCAGGAAGACGGGATCCTCCAAATAACCTAATGGGAAGGGAATAAGACTGAGGGTGATCAGAGCATAGTAGTGACACAATAGTCGTTTTGCCTGATCCATTAGGACCGAAAACACCCCAACGCTCGCCACGTCGAACCGTCCAAATCAAACCGTCCTGAGAACCATCAGCAGTTTGCTGCGCCCAGTTACCCAACGCAACCTTTCCGCGATACTGGACCTTGCAACCATCCATCTCAACGAGAGGCTCAGCGTTGGGATTTCTCGGTTCAAGCTCCTTATATGATGATTGCCCTGTATGATCCGAGGCTTCTGTAGAGGCGACTGAAGGTAACACACGGCCAATGTCCACAAGTGAATGGAGCGGCAGTTTCTCATCCTCAACAAGACCACCCTTTCGAACACCACGAACGTATTTTTTTAGACCGTCTAGGACCTCTTCCTTAGGACCCATTGAACCCACTTGACAGTCGGTTCTCAGATATACCAAGTGAGTGATCCAATCAGGTAAGGGGTCTTGTGGCCTCGCGCTCAGAACAAGACGGGGGCTGGCCTTCTCAGCTAGTGAATGTAGTAAAGGGCTCAGTCCTGATACTGTAGGGGGATCCAATCCCATAAAAGGCTCGTCGAGTAACAATACTTCTGGTTTGGTAAGAAGAGCACGAGCAATACGCGCTCTTCGACCCTGACCATTGCTAAGGAATGAAACCGGGAGATCAAGGAGGTTCTCCAGCCTCAAATCCTTGACAACCCGAGACAACAGTCCGGATGATATGGAAGCATCGTCATCGCCTTCCGTTTTCATGGGATTCAGCTCTGTGTTCCCTAAAAGAAAGTCCCTGAGAGAAAAGTCCGTGATCTCACGCCTAGACTCATATCTTGCTGATAAGTATGCACTTGTAGCAACCCCACCACCTAGACCACCACCAGTCTGCTCCGCGTCAAAACCGACATACTGAATGGCATTTTGTGGCGTGCGTAAACGTTTGGGGACATCTTCAGTAGCAAGGTATGGATAGGATCTTGCAATAGGTGGATCACACAGGAATCTTCCTTTCAGAGCCTGTAAGAACGTCGTTTTCCCCGACAGAGATGGACCAACAATGCACCAATTCCGAGGTGAGTTTGATGTAGAGGCCAGCTCAAAACTCAAATCGCTGAAAAGAGGAGGATTTGGACGTGATGATGTAGCGTTTGGATGATGGCGATAGAAGGTGCCATTGGCGATCCGAATGATTGGGGGACGACTTGTAAAGGGTCTCATGATTCCAATCTTCTATTCATATAGTGGATAAATCATTGTATATGGTAAATAAAAAGAAGTTATCTTGAAGCGAAGTCGGAATCAATAAGTAAGTGACGATGTCTACGTGGGTCTCAGCATCGACGGACCTGCAGCTGTCTCCCCGGAGCCGGGAAAAGAAAAGGTACGTACCTTCCACCTAATTGGAAGCAACGCAACGCAACGCAACGCCAGCGCAAGGCTGCCTTGACCTTAAGCGGGAGCGGGAGCTGGAGCTTTCATCATCAACCACCAAAGAGAGAAGTCATCCATCAACGACGTCGCGCTCAACTCCACCACCGAATTAATCAGGAATAATACACCGATCGGATTACAACGACGTGTATATCCTCTACCGAATCACCTTCTACATAAAATCGACAGTCACATCCGTCAATATGGTAAGCTTCAACACCATTCATCTTCAATATCATGAGAGCTAGCTAACCACCGTCCTCTCCAGTCTCAAGCAATGCGCATCGTCCCCGGCAACTCCAACGCCGAGACATATACTCACATCTCTCACACATCCTCCGCCCCCTCCGCCCCAGGCATCCACGATACTCTCCGCCACGGTGTCGGCGCATCTCCCTTCGACTCCAAGTCTACACCCTCCTCTGCCCACCCTCTCGAAGCTCGATTGAAGAACTGGGAGGCCACTCAGGAGTCTCTCAAGATGGAGACCCTTCGACGAACTTACGGCATGGCTGAGCCCATTCGACGTGGCATGGAGCTCAAGATCGTCCAGAACGGCGAGTGGCGGCCCATGGCCCTCGGCAACGGTCTGCCCAGTGTCCACGAGGATATTCTTAGGGGCCGCGATACTACCATTACTTGGGAGGACGTTTACAAGGGTGATGAGACAAGAGCCGTGGCTGGATTCCACGATGAGATGGAGAAGAAGCTCAGGATTCAGTAAATATGCAGCATGTTTCACGATGAATGAGGCATCCACTCATCGCCTTGTACATCCACGGGGTTTCAGGGTTAGAAATATTAAGAACTTCAGAGACTACCATGCGGACACACTCATGGAGGAATCTTAGAATTCGATTCTTTTGATCAGACAACAAAAATGCTTTCTATGCTGCTACGAATGCGTCGCTTGAAGACGCTATCGATAATGTTTCGATCGTAAAGAAGATAATAAAACAAGAATAACAAAGCCATGATCCAAAGTTCACAACAAGTACGCCCAAGTAGACTCCGTTATCCCCTTCTTCCACCCGCCAGAGCCTTGTTTCGCTTCTACCGAGTGGTTACAAAAAATAGACCAAGAAATTAATTAAGGAATGCGCGGGCAACATCCCGCTGCTCATCATCTCGGCCTGTAGGCTCAATTGCAGACAATGCTACTCTCTTCAGCCTGCAGCTGCCAGGAGATGATGGTCATGGTGGTAGTGAGCTTTTTCTTGTGACAACAATCATCAGACATGATTAGCTCGAGAATTGTCAGTCATTACACAGGATGTCGCCCGTTACAATACGACGCAACAGCCTCCACCTCGAGAACGTTGACCGTCGCCACCGCCTGATGAAAGATTCTTGCTTCCAGTCTTGGGTTCCTCCTCATCAAGATCTTGCGGCCGAATGCTCATGTGCACCACATTGGGGCTTTCGGTAGAAAGTTGGTACTCTGTTTAGCGGTCAGTAAAGGAGGACACAATGTCTCAGACACACGGTGAGCCTTACTCTTCAACTGTTCCTTATCATCTAATAGTTTGCCAAAGTGAATCAGCCTGATGCTGCTAGGACTAGTAGGCTTGGCTTCCCAGTCACTTCGCCATTCTCTCAATATTAATTCCTTGAGGGTGTAAATGCTGATACTGAAGGGATCCGGAAGTCCACCCTCAGTCTGATCTGGAATATCCACGTTCCTCCGGCTCAAATACTTGGCATCGATCTTATACGGATGTCGACTTCCTGAAGTAAGGAGAAGTGTAATGTTACAAACGGGTCCATCAGAAGGGCCCCCTGATATCTCTCTGATGTCGTCTACAGCAGGGCCTATGCCCAAGTTCGAATCTTGCTTAGTCGGCGCTGGAGGAGCTGTCTCCTTTTCTTTGCCCTTTGGTGAAGCCGATGGTGCTGTAGTTGATTGATCGATGTTCTCGGATGCTACTGGCACGTTGGTCGAGGATGTTGGCTCAGGTGCGCTCGTCTTATCGGCGGGCTCGTGCTCGTGATCGGCAGGCTTCTGCTCGGAGGGCTTGGTAATGTTTTCCATGGCTACAGCATCGTTAGGCTGTCCGAGCCGCGAGGATTCAACTGGCGCAGCGTTACCACCGCTCATGGTGGAGTCCGCTGGAGCCGACATACTGGATGAAGGGTGATAGAGGCGCGGTAATGGATGTGATTTGAAGTCACACCACGCAATAAAGGGAAGAACGTGATAGTAGATGAGACGCAAGCGAGCGAGTGTTTAAGGAACAATGCGATTCGAAAGATGTTCGCGATCGAAAGCCGACGATGGCGGATAGAAGATGCGGATGCGAATGTGGAAGTGGATAAGTTAGAGAAGATGTGGATGAATGTGGTCAGTATCGGTAGCGTGGCTAGGTAGGTCTCGGGGAGTAAAAGTGAAAGACGTCAAGTCCAGTTCACTGAGAGGTACAGTAAGGAAGGATGGATCGCCCAGGCCGGGGGGCCGCCAGGCCGGGGGTGGGGCAGTGAATGGCCCGGAGTCTTGTCCACTCAGATAAAACGCTCAGACATCCATACAACGCGACGGCAGGGGCAGCGCAGACCTGCAGTAACCGTACTTGTACTTTGCAGCAAATAATCACTGAATTCAATCGAAGAGGGAGAAGTAATGGGCAATTCGCCGACTGAAGCTCAAGCAAGTCAGGCTGTAAGCAAGCAACCGAACTGAACAGTACCTAGGTGCCAATGCAATATATGCGGCCAAGCGGTTGACGGCCCACGGATACACTACAGAGCTTTGTTTGGTGTCGTCACCTCCCACCTGGAACTTACCTTGTTCAGCTATCTTGGCTTTTTGCTTTCACGAATTCAGGATTTCTTATACTCTAACGAGCACTTCTAACGGTCTTTTCACCTTTGTTTTCATGTGCCTGGGAACCCGGCATCGTTGAATTGATCGACAAAACTATAAGCAGGCGGCGCGACCCTTGTTCCCATCGACTCGCCCTACCTTTCCTTTCGCTGCCTTTCTCGTCATTGTCACTTTATTGTTTTTCACAGGGGAGTCGGGTCCAGTCTAGGTGGGTGACAGAAGAAATGTTGTCTAAAACTTAGGCTACTAAAATGAAGTAGCTTAAGTACTGGTCTAAGCAGTCATAAAGTTACCGAATTATTTCGTTTCTTATGCTCTGGGCGGCCAATTCTTCTGACACCCTGGCGCCAGTCAAGCCAAGCGCCCCCTCTCTTTTCGTTCCCTGTCAGGCAAAGCGTCGAGCGACACCATCAAAAGGTTGTTGTTGCACCGGTTGCTCTCCACCCAAAGTTCCACGCCCAGCCGCTGGCCGACACGGCTTCTTGGCTGCTTCTCTCGGCTTCTCACGCTCAATGGTAGACCAGCAGATGGGCCGAGCAGTAGGACCTTGGATAGATACTGGATGTTCCGTAATTAGGAATGAATCCGAACAAACAATGACCTTGTTTCAAAGAGACTTGGCTAAGAAATGAAGAAAGCAAAGACAGCATTGAATTAGCCGACATCAATCGAGAGCCATAATTCGAGCTAAGAAAGGTTCCATCGTTCTTGCCGTCAGACCCAGCGGTATGGAGAGAACGATCCTTACTAACGTTAGCAGCCAAGGCAGGACATACAGGGGCCCAGCCTCTGAGCCTCTGGGGTAATAGAACACGACTTTACGGCTCTCTCAGCATATGAGACGAAACAATTGAGTTGCATTATGCTGACTTGTATCAGTTCTAAGGCTTCTTTATTCTTTGACCTCAATCTGACATTTACATATCTCAGGCTTTCTGCCTTCTACTTCCTCTAGACTAGTCGGCTAGGTGCTTTCCGTTCGGGCAAGTTCCCTCCATAATAAAACGGAAGGTCACAACCAACTCACATTACAGCACCTCCACTGAGTCGGGCAGGTACACAAGTTGAAAGCCACTGAAGTGAGGGAGGATGGACTTGAGTCTTGACGGAAGGTGGCGGCCGACTGTGCCGCTTGCTCAGCCCCCAAATGGAGCCCGCTGTCTTCGGGAAGCAGCACTATGAGTTGAATCCATGACTGTATTTTGAAGCCCTACCTAGAAGCGACAGTTACCTAAACAATATTCAATGGAAATATCAGAAGCGACCATGGTTATTATTTCGAAAGGGCTTATGCTTACTCATATTGATAGATCTATAGGTTACTAAGAAGCATGACAGGAGTTTCCCTTACCTGACCCTGGGCTTACACGAAATACCGTACTCGAGGAAATATCGATAATCACGTCCTCTGCACCCTTCGCATCCGTCTGACCCAAAACCTATCTAAGGGTCCTCGACTTGCATGCGTCCTCAAGATCTCACTCGGTAGAATCGAGCTGGTCCCTGAACCCAACGAAACCCCTCTGCTCTGCGAGGAAGAAACATACATGCACGGCCCGGATGCCCACTCACCCACAAGACTCTGGGGTGTGTCCCGCATTGTATAAGACAACCGACTCGCTCACCTGCATACGCCAGCCTATTCAACAAATATCAATTGGACACCAGGACAAGAGAACATTATACCTACTTGATGGACATTACGAGGGTTTGTATTCACCAATTCAACAGCGGAAGCTAGTTTGACAGCTTCCTATTCTAGCCTTCAACACATCAAAGATATGTCTCTCCGGCATTTTTTCCATACTATCTTCGCAGACCAGACTCAGACCTAGACCAAGCAGCCAAGCCTGGATCTAGCTTAACCTGGTATTCGATACCTCGCCCCAGGCACCCTGGTCAAATGTGCCCTTTCGGGTAGCTCTGGATACACTCAACTCAATGGCTCTAATGTGCTTCGCCCCAGCTGGATATTTGAAATAAGGTTCTCGAGCCAAACCGATTTTAGCCTACGCCGCTACCCGGACAAGCCATCCGCGGGCCCAACCCTTCAGATTCGAGAATGCTCCTGAGATAGGGCAATGGGGAAAACAGATAATCTCAGTCAACCAAATAGCATGAGCTTTTACAAGCCGACATACAAAACGGCTTCTTTCAATTTACTCAAGACTATCTTGTCTTCGACTATGCCTCCCATCGCTAAATACACAGGTATCGATTACAGCACTAACAAATCACCGTTGCTGCCAGCACCTTGGGCTGGTTGAAGCACAGCTTGAGGGGCATGCGCGCTCACAACGTAACCCGTTGAGTGACCATTACCTCCTCCAAAGACATCATCACCTTGATCAACATGCATCGGTGTCATCTGCTGCGTTCCTATACCCGAGAAGTAGGCGTCCGCATCGCTAACTGCTTGTGCGAGGTTCGCTTGACCCTCACCCGATGTAGGATTTCGGGTTCTTGGATCGATATCAGTTGCTGCTCCGCCGTTACCAAACATGCTAATACTCTTCTGGTTGTCTCCTCCAACAAGAAGGTTTTGCTTCTGTAGTGCTGGGGAGTCTTGAAGTTTGCGTGGTCGCGCAGATCTGAAAACAGTCTGCACTGGCTTCAGATAAACCGTCGCTAGTGTTCCCACATTCAAGCACATCTCCTCTAGTGTCGTCGAGTCAAGTCTCTCCGACTCGGCTGTGATGGCGGGCTTTTCGCCCATGACGATCTGCTTGGCTGCATTCATGTCCGTCGACAACAGTCGCCAGTACATATATGCTCTATCTCGAAGATCGGGGTTATCAGTCTCCTCCGTTGCCCATTTCAGGACCTTTGGAACCAACTCCTGTCCCTTTGTCGGTCGTTGGATGAAAAGCTTTACTGTAGCTGTGAGCAAAGCAAGCTGTACTTCGACGGGCTCCTCGGCAAACGAGTATAGGAAGTCTTCCAACAGAGCATCACTGTTCTCTATTCGGTCTGCATACTGGCCAATCACCCAAACCATGGCTGCTTTAGCCTCGGGCTCATCCAGAGAATCGAGATGTTCGCACAAAGTGCTGATGATGGATTCATATTGGTTGGGGTATTTGCGGAAGATATTTCGGATAACAACTGTAGCTTCCTGCACAATGTATGTGATTTTGGTTGCGACAAGCTCGAGGAGTAGGTTGATGCATCTTCGTGCCGCCGGCTCAATTTTGATTGCCAGCTTACCGATGGCGCGCACCGCTTTGCGCACAAAATGAACGTCAATCTCGGTGGCATACTCTCGCAATTCCGTCAAGACTTCATCGATGTTATCCTCATTGGCGAGCATAAAGATGAGTTCAAGCTTTGTGACCTTGACATAAATGGGATCGTTGTATTTGCAGAAAAAGACGCGGATGTCGTTTCGCAGTACTTCTGGTCGCCGCTGGAGAATCAACAGGGCATTTCGCAAGGCAAGATACTGTACCTCAGGGCCCTTTGCGAGAAGTGTGACAAGAGGTGGTGAGAGCTTTCTGCAAAGAGCCGAGATCTGCTTCTGATCGGCGATATAGTTCATCAGATACAGAATTACCCGAATGCAGGTCAACACGACGGACGAATTAGAGTGCGACAATCGTGGTGATATCCGCTCGGCCAGGAGTATCGCCTCTCCGGATTCTTGTGGCACATAGGACATGAGAGCCTCTAGGATATATGTCTGACCCCATCTATTGGCACACGATTAGCGACGCTTTCACAAATGTTGAGGTCCATCTTACTCAGAGCAGTCAGGTAGAATAGCCACCATCTTGGAGGCATTGCTATAGTCAATAGTGAGCTTGATGGCATCACTGCGCTCCCAGATGTCCATCAGGCCGGCCAATGCGCTGGCAACAACAGTGGGATTATCGTCGCGAAGAAGCGAATTCAGTCGATCGATTAAATCAGAGTTCTCCACCATGTTTCGATCGTGGTCGTAAAGCTTCGCTACGCAGAATGCAGCCGTCTTTCGCACATAGGGGTCGCCATCTTTCAGCATGTGCTTGACTATTGGCACGGTAGCTTCGACAAACTCTCTAACATGAATGTACGACATTGTCCTAAGAGCCAATGCTCGTACCAAAGGATTGTGGTCTTCCATATCCTACTGACGTTAACCACGGCCGCCGCCATTAGAATCCTTTGAACTCACATGTTCTAGTACAGGGATTGCCTTTACGGCAATCTCAGGTCTCATCCTGGCATAGTTGACCAGAAACAAGAAGCACCTATCGGGTGTCAGTGACCGAGTATCTTTAACAATGCCAATACTCTTACATCTTCTTGATTTCTAAACTCTGAATGCCCATACACCCAATGATATCAGGGAACAGAGCCACCATGTCATTATTGCTCATGGTCATGTTGGCCACAATCTTCTTGAGTGCGATCTTCTTGCCCGCATAATTCTTATCTTTCTTCCCTCCGCTGTTGAGCTCGAGGCGCAGCTCGGCAACTTTGCCCTGTATGTTGTTTAGTCTTGTACCGTCATATATTGATCTTGGGGGCATGTATGCGAGAAACATGGCGGTCATCGTGTCGTTCACGTCGCTGCGCAATGAGCTGTCGATAGTGACATCGAGACGGGGAATTCAATGGAAAGCAACAAAATGCTCTTGGCCAAGTCCGCGCAAAAGCAGATAAGGATCAAGGAGACACAAGAGTAATCTCGGTGTAGTGGAGGTTCAAAGACTTATACTACCTCAGGTCCTACGAGGCTGAGACATGATAGAAGAACAGGAAGGCTTACTCGAGCAAACAATTTGGAGTCCCCTCCACCGGCGGAGCTCGACATGGTGTTGTACTTGTATCCCAAATAATGCGACGGAACTGGGTATCGGTAACGTTGAATGCGGGATGGGCGCCCTATTCCAGAACAAGCCCCTCACTTTCGAGCGATTCCAAGATTCGTAACTGTCGAATTGACTGATATTTACAACCTAATTGGGTGGGCTGCGTCGCCCAGCGGAAAGAGTTGCAGAGGGTGGTATGGTAAATGGGAGGGGATGGTCACATGTAGGCCAATGCCTAAAGCGCAGTTGCAGGTCGTTGAATATTGGATCCTTTCTCGATCGTTCGTTATCGCTATGGGGCTGGTCTGAGATTCGAAGAAACGAGGAACGCGCTGTATTTCTCGAGAACGGTATGCGATGCCTGCCGAGGTCGTACTTGGAATTGTTTCGCTTCGTGAACCGGCGTCGTCGGGGAGTGGAAAGGGGATCCTGGACCCCGAGTAATGTAAGCCAAATACTCCGTAGGTGCTGATAAGATAGACGGTTGCAATTAAGCGGAAATTACGGAGCACAGCTGCCACATTTGCGCCACAGATCAAAGGCCACCACATGTGGACCAACCAATCATCAACCTAAACCAATCAACCAACGTCAACGTCGCCTCCGCGAGCATTCAATATCGCCTTTACATTTGCGACTACAACACAACATCTCCAACAATCGCCAGCTCACGACACCTAAAACACATCATCATGACCGTATCCCCTACAGCCCCCCTCTGGGTTTCCCAGCTCGAGCATGCTCCCGCAGCCAAGGCGAAGCAGTCTGGCATTCAGGATCCCCCAGGCTTCAGCTCCGGAGCGGCCGTCACCAACTCTAAGGTCAGCACAATCTCCTTCCACGATCAAATAAGCCCAGCAACTAATACGATATACAGAAGAACAAGGAAGCCCCCAAAGTTCAGCCACGAAAGCCCCCGACAGCCGAAGAGATGGACACCTTGAAGCTCAAGAAGGCTTGGGAAGTCGCGCTGGCTCCCGTCAAGGGTCTGCCCATGACCGCCATCATGATGTACATGTCAGGCAACTCGCTCCAGATTTTCAGTATCATGATGGTCTTCATGGCCTTCAAGAACCCTCTGATGGGTCTCATGAACACCAACCAGGCATTTGAGCGCTTCCAGGCCTCCGAGAGTCTTTCATCCCAGTTGCTCCAGGTCAAATTCGTGTACGTTGTGTGTCAGCTTGTTGCGCTAGGTGTGGGAGTCTGGAAGATTAATCAAATGGGTCTATTACCGTAAGTTTCTTTGGTATATGTATCAATTTGATTGAACTAACAACCTTAGAACAACACGATCCGACTGGCTGATGTGGGAGGCGCAGAGAGAGCCTTTGGAATACGCCGTGGCAGCTTTATAACTTATCCCTGTTGATACGATAAAATGACTAGATAACTAACTACATGAATCCGGATACTTTTATGTCGCCTTCAAGGCCTCTCGCTTTGCTTTGGCCGCCCTCCATCCCATACCTCTCTTATCTACAAGTTTCAGGACTGGGATCATAGCTAGGTTGAGTAAAGCAAGAAATGTGAAGGTCCAGCCTCTGCCCATTCCCTCAATCATATGGTCGATAGCCGCAGTAGAGGCAGCTCCGAACATGCAGCGCACGAGGTTATTCGCAGCAGTTGCTGTAGCTGGTGCCTTGGGGTTAAGATCGACAATCAGCGTGTTAAGAACACTGAATGAAGTTGGAACGAACATGCCAATCAAGAATACTAGGACTAATGGGACAGCAACGCTGGTTTCAACCTGGAGGGCCCAACCGTATCCGATGAGTGTAACGATACCAGCGAGCAGGATGGGATATATAGCTTGGATTCGCGCTGTTTCAATTGGGAACGTTGCCAAGTCGTTCCCGCGTTTTCTGTCGATGGTGAAGCCGATTTTCTTTGCAATTCGTCGGTAGTTCCAGTCCAACACGCGTCCTTGAACAACAATAGCAATGGCACAACCGAACCCATAAGGCAGATAGCAGAGACCAACCTGAAGGTCGTTGTACCCATAAATCTCCTTGAAGAGTGTCGACAAAGTTGCTGCAGTCAGAATGAAAGCAATATAGATGATTGCGTTGATGCATAGAATAATGGCCATCTCCTTCTCGAACACGATGTACAGCGTTTTCAATGGGTTGGGAAACTTGAGCTTTCGTTTCGGAACGTTTTGATCTGTGACCTCTCCCCTGTTGCTGTAAAGATCAAGCAATGTTCTGTTCCATTTCTGGGGCGCTATTGACCCATTTCCAACGACATTGCGGCATGTCTCAGGGGCTGAGAGAATGAAAGGAATCATCCAGGTGGCAGAGAAGATGGCGCAAAACCAGAAAATAGCAGGCCATCCTAGGAACTGACTTAGTATACCACCCAGCAATGGACCAAGAGCAGGGCCAATGTTGATTCCTGCTCCGACGATGCCCATGTACTTTCCTCTTTCTCCCGTAGATGAGATGTCTGCGACTACGGCATAGCCGAGGGCCAGGGTACCACTGCTGCCCGCGCTTTGAACACAACGAAGGATCAAGAGCGCAACGAAGTTCCGCTGCAGAGCCAATCCGATGTTGGCACCGATGTAGATGGAAAAGGCGACGATATAAGCCGGTCGTCGTCCTGCCATATCTCCAAAATCACCAAATATCGTTGGTGACAGCCCCTGAAAGATCATATAGGACGTCAATGTGAGATTGATGAGTGAGATCGAGATGTTCAAATCATCGGCGATTGGGTTTAGCGCGGGGAAGTAGATATTGGCTGTCATAGGAGAAACAAAACTAGCGGCGGTGACCAAAGCCAAGATCCATCTCTTGGTGTTTTTCGAAAAGGTGCTGTATGCTGGGCCGCTTGGGACTCTGGTCATATTCTCGGCATCCCCCAGAACTCCATCGTCAGCTTGAGTTGCTGTTCCATCGTTCGGAGACTCGCCAAGCTTTTCTGAAATGATATCTCGGGCTGTTGGAGTATCAGATACGCTGCTATGTATGCTGATATCGTCATGATCTTGTCTTTGTAGCCTCGGCTCGTTGGTCGAGGGCTGGTTTCCGTCTTTCTCGCCCATCTTTGCTGAAGAGGAAGAAAATCGAATAAATAATAACCATGACGCGGAAGCTGTAAAGAAGTGGCAGTCAAGTCTTTTAATGCTACTTAACTACCCGCGGGATCGGAGAACATTATCCACTAGATTTTATTTCCGACACTTACGATTGCTATTTCCATGATCTAAACCCGGCCGAAAATGGACACGGACCCGGCGGTCCAGGGTCCACATAACGCCGAGCTCCGTACCGATCCGCAATCGGCCTCATGTATCGGTAAAATCAACGGTCAGACCGAGAAGTTGACAAAGAACGCTGAACCCGTAGCCAATTGAGAGTACAAGATTCTAAGTTTACGACCAGGATATCGTAGTCTCACTCAAAGGATTGCTAAAGGGCCAACCGAAAGAAGAAGACATGATGAAGAGTCCTGAGCTTGTAGCTTCGATAAAAGTTGTTTGCAAAGTATTTACCAGGTGGAGAATGAGCGGATGGGAAATCTGTGGCCCCTAATTTGCCATCTATATAAATCCAAGATTCTAAAAAGGTTGCGTACAATCATCCAAGCTTTTGACCGTTCGGCATTCAATTTCCATTTGATGACTAAGCCACGTGGCTTGACGATGTGCGTCAGAGCTCAGAGCTTCGATGCAGCCATGGTGTCTACAACCTTGAATCCTTACATCGAGTATGGCCATTTGCTCCAGCAGAACAGCCAAAACACCAGACCTTTCGAAATTATAACGTCACATAATCCGAATCGATTGATCTGAGCTCTCTACTATCTTGTGCGATCGACTCCCCTATCTCAGCACGCATTGGACGCCATGGATATTACAGTCACTTTCAACGAGCTTCTGAAGGAGCGCAATGCGCCGGAAATAAGGAAACGGGTCACCCTGAATGCCATAGATGGCTTTTTGAAAGAGGCATACCGAATTGTAGGTCAAGCACCTCTGTTGCGACGCACTCTTCAAGCTGACCAGCTCCTTTAGAATTCGCATATCACGAGTCTTCATCGAGAACTTCAAGATGTCAGACAAGCCTACCTCTCGACTGCGCAACCACGAAAGACAAATACTCGGGCTGCTAAGAACCAAACCCGAGTACTATCCGACCGAGATCGAGAAGAAGTCGACGCCAATGCGAAGCAAATGATTCGGGAGCTGAATGCTGGCATTCGCGCCCTTGATGAGGCCGAACAATTACGCCGTGAGACCGAAACAGCCATGATTCGCAAGAAATATATAGGAGGCTTGGGCGCTCTGGGCTCGTGGGCTTCTGGTGGTATGGTTAGTAGCAAAACCCAGGAGCACGAGGAAGCAGAAGCAAAGGCACGAGATGTGGGCATCCACCGAGACAGCATTCTCTGGTTTTTAAGGCAACGGCTGGAATTATGCTGTCGTACACAACAGGATATGATGGAGGCACGCCTGACACGAGAGATGGAAAAGAGCCGCAGCATGCTTTCGAGAGCTGGTATCGCCGGAGACTTTGCGGAATTTCCTCCTTCTGCCCGACGAGCCTCGCAGACAGCCCCTTCTGAAAAGATCCCTATGTCCGACGACGGTCAACTCCCGAGCCAGCATCTTACGGAGGAGCAGATTCAGATGTTTGAGGAAGGAAATCAAGATATGATGAAGCATTTCGAGAGTAGCTTGGACAAAGTCAGGTACGTATCCATGCATCTTCCGATGTCAATCAGTACACCCTTGCCGGGTTGTTTCTGCACTATAGCTCCAAGCGCAACCAACACCCCATGGGGAAACAGACAATCTTTCGGGACATGTGGGCTGACTTTTACTTGATAGGACCGCTGAGAAGTCACTACTTGAGATATCTGAACTACAATCGCTGCTTGTGAACAACCTTGCAACGCAGTCAGCCCATATCGAACAATTAGTGTCAGATTCGTTTTCGACAACGGAAAACGTTGGTGGGGGTAATAAGGAACTTAAAAAAGCCACTCAGCGGGCAAGTCCAGCAAAGTATACTTTCTTTGCGGCGGGAGGATTGTGTGCGTTCCTTGTCGTTTGGGATCTTATATTCTGAGATGTTCCAGTGTATGAAAAGGGTGTATATTTAAAGCGGCACTACTGTACTGGTTTAGTCGATTGATTAGACAACATAATACAAAACGTCTGGCAAGCTAAGGGCAGGAAGGGGGTGTGGCTATGGGAGCCTCAAACGACAATGTCTGCTTATTGCTGTATGAAAGATGCTAAGACTTTTACATATATATCCAGTCTTAGCTCGTGTCTATCTCAAGTACTATTCTTTCGGGACAATATACTGCAACTGACGATTGGCGTAAAACCAGCAAGGAATGAAAGGGCGGGTTTGATGTCAGAAAGTTACTACTAGAATGATCGCCTACAAAAGGTTGTTTACAAGCTCAACGTGATTGGCGTGGAAATAAAATCGACACAACAGAGAGATGCAGAGTCGCCTCACCTGTTGGTATATAGAACTAAATCTCGACAGCCTTTCTTGTAACTTAATGTCACTTGGAAGTAACTACAACCCCCAGAGAAGCGGTCTCTTATCGGTTTGAACGGCCTGACAGCTAGACATAGCATCGTACACACCACTGCTCGAGCATATAAATCAGGAGACATAATCTTGCATTCATGACCTTGACTGGGTAGCTGTTCAGCCCTAGGCTGAGCTGTCAGGGCGGATCAAATTTCAACATTCGATCTTGAAAAGACATACGATGTCAAGTGTTCTTTGCCCAATTACACCGACATCTAAAACGGGCCCAGCGCCAGGACCCTCAGATTTAATATTGAGATATAGATCTAAAGCAAGATGAGTCTTACATGGAATACATTCCATCTCATCGAATAGTCATTGTCATACGACAGCCCAAATCGATACTTTACGTCTTTCAGGCGGGCGAAGTCGGAGGCTCTCTAGCTATTATTACTTAACCGTGCATTTTAAAGCCCCGTGATGTTATGTCTAAGATTTTTTACTTCCCCGTGACGGGGCGTCCGGGGGTGCTAAAAGAGCCACTCGGCACTGACGATGCATGCGTCCGTCCGTTCTGCAAACGAATCGAAGGGGTCTGGAAGAAGTGACCCAGGTTCTTTTTTTCTGGGGAATGGGGCAGATATTTTAGGAGGGGAGAAGAGGGGAGGGGTTTGGGGAAGAACTAGAGAGAACCCGAAATGTACATTGGAGAAAGACTGATGAACCAACGGGTCAATTACGTTACGGTATGTATGGTGATCATCTATGGTACCTGAATGGACGTTGACTGGAGATATTCATTGTATGAGATGAGATGTAGATCAGAGTAAAAAACCGAACTAAAGGAACCACACATCAGACCACTGAATAATTAGTCCCTCAACTGCTGAAACTGACAGCAGTCGATACAATAAAAGCAATACAATTCTACAGTTGAACATGGGATCAGTTACTTAAACGGACGAAACACTACGTCAGCTCACCGTCTTCAATTCATGCCAAGGTAAATTGCGCGAAGAGGGTACATACCTCGGTGAGATACGCTTATCCTCGCGCGTGACGTTTCAAGCCGAGGTGTACCCAGGTCGGCAACGGATAATGAGAGCTCAATCTTGACGTGATAGATGGAGCTTCACAAGCTTTTCACAAGCTCGTGGGGCATTTTCGGTAATAGATAAAGCATAAAAAGATAATAATTGTCGCAAACAAGAAATAACCAACTGTAAATATCTATCTATTGGACATATATCTTTTGTCTATAACGGACTACATTCTTCTATAACGGTTTCACGATCGTGTATCCGTACCTGCGCACGAACTCTCGATTATCTGCACGCCTCGTTTTCAGTTACTCACTTTGTACGCGCTATCGAGTCCGATCATCGCAAGGCGCGATTGTCTGTGTACTATCACCAAGCTCACCATCCGTACTACGAGAGCTCTATTTGGAAACAATAGAACTTCGGTCGAACAGTTTCTGTCTTAGTATTGTCTGAGAAGGAACTAGGAACGCCAGAAACCATATAGGTACAACAGTTATTAAGGTAAGTCTACAGAAACTCTCGAAGCGAAACACAAGAGGAAGTTTCCTTTGCTGTTGCCCTTGGTCCGTCAGGCCTGTCCCTGTTGAGCTCGAGTCTCAGTCAAACAAGTATCTGCACCCCTTGAGCACAAGCACAAGCACAAACCTTTCTATTCGTAGAGGTAGCTTTTTGAGGTACTTACTACCCATGCAACGATAGCATCAACAAGCAGCACAAGGTGCAAGAAAAGTCCACCGCCCGATGAGGTGAGGTGAGCCCAGCCCACAACTAGAGCTGCACCTTCCACCTCTGTCCTGTCCTGTTTGGCACCGGGCGGGCGCCCCTTCCCCCGAGAGCTCCAGTTGTCCGGAATAACGGCGCCTGATTTGCCCGCGTGCATCGCATGCTGGGGACATGGCCAATTACATCAGGCCAGAATCTGGTTTACGCAACGTCTGGCCCTTGGAGTGGATATTCATTCATGGATCTCTACTTTCTAAGGAATCCAGCCGGACGAAGTTCCGGGTCTCTTTGACCTCTGGAGATAAGGGACTGGATGGGACGGGAAAAGACCGTTGAGCTCCTGGCTTGTGAGAAAGTGTCTCGCAGATTTACAGCAATGAATGCTCCATCTTCTCTTACACGGACAGTCCGTCCTAGAGGTCAACTGAAGCAGCTTGTGACAGCCAATTCCCAGCACATTTCCCTTCATTGTGTCGCCTAAAACAGGCTTTTCTTACTCCATGTCAATCAAACATGACTTGCGGCGGACCGTAACTTACTGATCAAAGTTGCTGTTAGGTACCTTTTTGTTTACCCCAAAAAAGCACACTCCCACAGGGGTTCAGGCCGATTGGAAGAAGTCTCTCACCTCAGTTCACCTCACCCGCAAACACACCCCCTGGCTCCACTAAAGCCAGGCCACCGGACCGCCCCAAGACCCCTCTGCCTACCCCCCTAATCGACAATCCTCAGGGCCGCAGCCCACTATGACACCGTCACTGAACACACCCCGTCAGGGTCAAAGTCAGACTCAGTCTCAGAGCATCTCAAGCTCCAGCTCGACTGATAAAACGGCGCCTGTCCCTTCTTCATCTTCCTCCATCTCTCGACTTAATTCTATCGTTCATCACATCTCGCCCAAAATGGTTTCTACTACAAATTTCCCTGCCGAAGTCGTGCCCCAGGCACCTGAAGACCCTCTCTTCGGTCTTGCACGAGAGTACAAGGCCGACGACAGCCCTAAGAAGATTGATCTTGTAAGTTCAACCCTTCCTGCTCAGATTTTTAATTGCGCTTTTGTCATGATTGTCTTTGCTAACCTTGATTTCTCATAGGGTATCGGCGCTTACAGAGATGAGAACGCAAAGCCCTGGGTGTTGCCAGTCGTCAAGAAGGTATGAAACTTGCGCCAGCCCATCTTACACCCTATTGCTCCATGACATTGTCCTCCCCCAACAAACACATTCCTCTGTCGCATACACAAATATTACACTTCCAGACCCGGCGACGAGTCCGATGTGGATTCGGCTTACCTCAAGCCTTTCCATGATTGCGACTTTCCCGTCATGGGATCGCCTTTTTGCAATGCGCCATCTGGATCCTTCTCATGCAAATATGCGTCACAACTTGCCCCAATTGCCCCGCCGCCACGACTCCGGTCAAACACTCTCGTCTTGGAATTCGAGCTAACCCCACGTTTGTCATAGGCTGATGAGATCCTGCGAAACGACCCTGAGCTCAACCACGAGTATGCCCCCATCGCGGGTATTGCCAGCTTCACATCCAAGGCTGCCGAGCTAGTCTTTGGCCCCGATTCTTCTGCCATCCAAGACAAGCGCTCAACAACTCTACAAACAATCTCTGGTACCGGTGCTGTGCATTTGGGAGCTCTTTTCCTTGCCAAGTTCTACAAGGGCAACCAGACTGTCTACCTCTCAAATCCCACTTGGGCGAACCACCACCAGATCTTCAAGAATGTCGGCCTCTCAATCGACACATACCCTTACTTCCACAAGGAGACCAAGGGTCTTGATTTCGAGGGATTCAAGAAGACTCTGCAGTCCGCTCCTGAGGGCTCTGTCTTCGTCCTTCACGCATGTGCACACAACCCTACTGGTGTCGACCCTACCCAAGATCAGTGGACCGAGATTGCTTCTATCATGAAGGAGAAGAACCACTTCCCCTTCTTCGATACAGCTTACCAAGGCTTTGCCTCCGGTGATCTCGTCAAGGATGCCTGGGCTATCCGATACTTTGTCGACCAAGGCTTCGAGCTCGTTGTTGCTCAGAGTTTCGCCAAGAACTTCGGTCTTTACGGAGAGCGTGCCGGCTGCTTCCACGCCGTTACCTCTCCTGCTCCTGAGGCTTCCAACACAATCACCCGCATTGGCTCTCAACTGGCTATCCTCCAGCGATCCGAGATCTCCAACCCTCCTCTGTACGGTGCCCGCATCGTCAGCACAGTTCTCAACGACCGCGACCTCTTCGCTGAGTGGGAGGAGAACCTGCGCACCATGTCTGGCCGTATCATCAGCATGCGAGATGCTCTTCGCGGCAAGCTCGAGGAGCTCCAGACCCCCGGTACCTGGAACCACATTACCGACCAGATCGGTATGTTCAGCTTTACTGGCTTGAGCGAGAAGCAAGTGCTTCAACTTCGACAAGAGTTCCACGTCTACATGACCAAGAACGGCCGTATCAGCATGGCTGGTCTCAACGATAACAACGTTGAGTACTTTGCCAAGGCGGTTGACAAGGTTGTGCGAGACGCTGCTTAGATAGAACCTGATTGTTTGGGATTGTGTACGAACTCATGAAAGTGGTCAACTACCTACAAGACCTTGGAAAGAAACGGCGTTTGGATATGTTTACTATTATCACCTATCATGACTGGGTCTCTGCAAAAAAGCACTGAACGATCCTTGTTTTAGCATGCTGTTGACAGCTTCTAATATACCTTGACTGCATTTGCTATCTACAATCTATTTTGACTGCCATTTGTACTGCAATATTATGTGAGGATGATGTCGTAAAACAGAAGACAGAGACCGTTCTGGGGATTCACATGTTTGGACAACATCAAGGGTACATTCTTGGCATACGCCAGAGCTTTTACCCGCAGATACAGCAGGTACATAGTACGTAGCATGAACACCTTGAAAACCACGATCCTAAGCTGCGATTGGCCCGCCTCTCACCTTGGGCCACCTTAGGCTACCTTGGACTGACAGGCGGTTCCTGCTTTATTAGGTAAAAGTACTATTCTCGCTGTAGCGGTAACCCGAAGCGGACCAAGAGGTTGGGCAGGACTCCATCAACGAATATTCGGGGAAAATTCGCGGTCTCGGGGGAGTCTCTGACTACTACTGCGGTTTTCGTTGTAGCTATCGCCGACGCGGTATCATGACTCCGATTTACCGTGAAGGCGGGGTTTTGGTCTTGATCTTGCCACGCACTCCCCTGATATGGGCTGAGCTGTTTTTAACTCCCGTCTGGGGAAGACGAGAAAGAAGCAGTCATCGTTCTTCTTTTTTCCTCCCTCCTTTTTTCCTGGAGCAGCCCACCTCCGCAATTTTTTATCTTTTCCCCGCATGGGAGCCGCTCGCTTGTCCGGGGACAAGGGGGGCGTGTATACAAGAATCGAGCTCTGCGAGACAATCACCAGGTACAAACAAGATACGATATGGGGGAAGTCGGCGTAATGAAAGTTTTTTTACTTGTTACGGTGGATACAGAAATGGTAGCGAGGTCTAGTAACTAGGGAAAACGGTAGAGTCGACGTTACAGAGCTGCTGCTTGTCTATACCTTGCTGCTGTCTCTGTGCTGTTTGGTTATCGTTATGTCATTAGACAGGCAATTTTACAATATGGGATCCATACACTGTCCCGACAAAGTCCGACTATCATGAAATTATCAACATCAAAACATTAGAAACCATCAACAGTGGAAAAGTGAAGAAAAAACTGTCCAGTGTTTCCTTGGGCTATTACACAATGGCGTATCCACCGCAGCGGGTCGGTACAGAGTACTTGGGCGGGACTTCTCCGATGCCGGGGAAGACCAAGGTATGGAAGGAAACTATGGGGTAATAAGAAACCTGGAGAATGGTGCTGGTTTCGTGATCGAGGCTGTACTTTGCGGGTGTGTTGAAGCTTTGTGGAGTAGGTAGCAGAAGGAAGAGCACATGACTGTCGGTTATTGTTGCTAAGGGCTAGATGAGTGCGTAGTTTAGCTTGGGTCTATAATTACCAGGGCACAATTGTTCGTGATATGATGTGGAGAGGGATAAGACAGATATTATTAGCATGTGAAGTCTGTGGATTGTAGCTTGATATACAGAGACGGAGTGAGTCTGATGAAAGCTACCTTAAGGAAGCATCTTAATATCCTTGAAATATGAGCTTGACTTTGATTCACATGTGTTTAACTAAAAAGATTCCTCTCTATCAATCTCAGTTCTACAAGCAATTACGCTGCTTCAGAAACCCTAAATATAGTTCTAAAATACTACTCAGCTAGAGAAACAGTCCGTTCCCAAGACATCGTCAATTGGATTTTGCTTTTATCATAAGTACAAGCCTTACGGGCAATTGCTTCCAGTACAGCATAGTTCTTCAACTGAACAACTGCAGATTGCAATGGGATGGAGAGAAACTGGCGTAACAGCATATAACATCTTTAGCCAGGCCTGTTTCCCAAGTCTCCCTTACCAAACACTCACGAGATGAAGATACCGGCTGCGAAAACTTGGTATGTCTATGGATACACCTTTGTGATTATTAACCGTAGTGCTCATACTAAATCAAACACCCTTCAGTAATGCTCGCTCTTACTATCAGAAGCCTTTCCCTCATGACATTCCACCTCAATAAGCCCTCACATCTGGGCAATTCAAACTTGGTTCGAATATTCAGACAATTGGAGCAGTTGAGAAATGTCATGGTGTTTTTGCTGTGCACAGTACTGAAACTTCATACATAAAATGACCAATTAAGCCAACTAACCTAACCATATGTTTGTCCTGCTCAGTAGGTACCTAGGTAGGTATACGATAAAACGCTTAGTTCGGTGACACTTGCTGTTTCATGAGTTTGTGATACTTCACTCACTCACCTTGGCTCACCTTAGCACTTAGCTGCCTAAACTGGCAACCCCCACCAACCTCACCACCATCCAGGTACATTGACACAACCTATCTCACCAACAATGCGCCTTCAGCCATGGGGAGAAAACTACCGTGGAAAACATCCTCGGCTCAGTCAAGTCCAGAGAAGAAACCGTCTCTAAAATCTGAAAGTCCACATCCGACGCCTTCTCGATCACCAAATCGCCAGACTGGTACTCCTTCAGCATCTACCAAGAAACCGCGTCGTGAGCGCGTTGTCGAAGCAGAAGGTCTGATACTACGAACTCATCGTTACTCCACAAAGACTCATAAATTTATAGATGGCGTACGCAGTCCGTCGACATCGCCTCCTCCGGAGCCACCACCAGAGAGGTCCGTTTTGCTTGTCCCTCTCAACTGAAATACCAGCTGACCAGACCCAGATTCATGAGAGCTGGCTTAGGCCACGATGATCGCTATCGCATGGTCGAAGACGAATTCGTCAACATGGCTCACCAATTCACCGTCCATCTCCATCGCGCAGAGTATAACCGCCTAAAGAACCTGGCTAAGTACCAGAACGCGGATACAATCCGCGAAATAGAGCGCCCCAGCGTTGGCGCGCCTACTCTTCTTGCGCGGCAACGTCATGAGACCGCGCATAGAGAATCTAAGCAGCGCACTCTTCTTGGGGGCTCCTCTAACAACAAAGAGACACCCTACTCGGGTTCGAGTTTGCAGGGTCTTATGGAAAGTCCGAGGAAGGAGCATAAGTGGATTTCAGCAGGTCTGGCCGACGCGGCTAAGACGAGAGCTTCCGCTGGGTTCGATTCGCAAAAGATCACACCGGTACGGATGAAGCAGATTTCAAAGCCTTCATCTGGGCAGAAGAGACAGATTTCTCTGGCAGATAATGACGAGAGTGATGATGGGGATGATTTGGATCTCGCTACGCCTTCACGCACGCCTGCGACGAAAGCGGCGCGCACAGCTCAAACTTCAAGCCCAGCTATGTCGCGTTCAGCACCTCGACCGGCTTTCAGTACTCCTCGGGTGCTGAATACAACAACGAACACTACTTCGCGGTCAGGGTCCAGCGCTAAGCGACCAACTACAGCACCAGGAGATGGAGCTCGGCCGACAGCTAAACGCAGCGATGTCCATGAAGACATTGACGATGACGACATGTTTGGGATTACAAAACGGATGTCTGACCGTCGCAAGTCAAGAGGGCAAAGTCGCAAGACGGAAGATAAAGCACCCGCCAATTCTTCGCTCGATGACATCCCTTCATTTATATAAACATTGGAGACCTACACTAGCATTCTCATAATCACTGAAATACAGGCATTTTTACGAAAATCAAATCAGTTCTTTTATTCATGTAAGTCTTATCCTTCCATTGGCCGGTCCTGCATTGTAAGCTCATCAAAGTCGTCCAGCAACTCATTCATATCAACCTGAGGAGCCTCATCGTCACCCTCAGTCTCGGCCACGCTCATCTCCTCTTCCTCTCTCTTCTTAGATTTGTACAGGGCGAGCGTAGCACGGAGCTCCTCGTCTTCCTCGACATCTCGCAAGAACTGCTCGTACTCTTGATCCAAACGTTCTTGATCGGCCTTCTTGGGAAGGAGCTCACCCTCGTCCTTGTCCATACGCTTGAGCTGCCAGTTTCTCTTGCGGTTCTTTCTGCGGCGGGGGTAGTGCTTCTTGATTAGCACCACGTCAGGAATCGTTGACGAGTATGTGTTGGAGTTCTCAATCGCCTCATATTCGGTGTTGTTGAAAACAGTACCAGCCAGGAGGTAACCCATAGCGGAGTCACCAGGCTGAAGAAGTCGGCCCATGTGAGTCCTTGTGAAGTATGTTCGGTCGTTGACACCGAGATCAGTAGCTCGGGCAACTGTGGCTTCGGCAAGCGTCCACTTGCCCTTCTGGTTTGTTGTGAGTTCAATGTCCATGACAATGAACTCAACGAGCTCATGGGTATCGGTCAGAGACAAGAATGGGGCTCGCCAGTAGATTGGCGCACTGATATCACAGGTCTGGAGGGTCTGAGGATCCATCAGGTAGAGGGAAGTACCGATCTTGTGGCAGAGAAGGAGAGGTGAGATGTTGCCACACTGCTTAGCCATTTTGATGGGCAAAGCAACCAAGTCGTCCTTACATATAGGGACCAACTCAGCTGAGTATGTGAACTTGAAGGACTTTTTGGAGGTGTGGATATCGTGAGAAATCAGCTCCTGCGACGCCTTTACCTTGACGGGAACCACGGAGTTGAGGAAGTCGATGAACTTCTCGGCCTGGTTCTTTTGCGAGAAGAAGAAGTCGATACCATCCTTGGCTTCTCTGATGTTAAGGGTATCCCTGTGCGCACCATGCTTCATGATGAGTTGTTCGAGGAAAAGGAAAGTTCGCTTGTGAAGAACCTTCTGGCGGACCTGGACAGCGGCTCGCCAGACGTTGGCAGTGTATGACTTGGCACACTCGGGGCACTGTTGGTAGGCCACAACATAAATAACCTCGAAACTCTGCTGGAGCAGCATGCCATCCTGAACTTCATCCTGGATAGTGAGCTTGACCTTGACTCTTCGCGAGTGAGGTTCTGTCCAGATGAAATGGGCGTCTATGATGCGGACTTTGTTCAGACCTCGAAGTTTCTTGAGGCACAGGGCCAACAGTTCTCGAGATTCGGGAGAGGCGACAATCCAACTGGTGGGGGGCATGAGCCATCGGTCGCAGTCTCGGCAGAAGTTTAGGGTCGCCTCTCGCTGGACGCCCTGGGAGATGTCGACGGTGAGCTTGATGCAGTCGTAGCAAAGAGCGCCGGAGGCAGCGGTTCCATCGATGGGAGCGCCACAGTTACAGCACAGAATACTGAAAGATTTGAATTAGCATTTGCGCCCAAGACAACAGTGCGGGGTGTTTTTGAAAAAGATCAAGACTCACGTTGCAGCACCCTGCTGCTGAGAGACAGGGGCTATAGAGATAGGCTGGTCATCCAAGTCCATCGACATGCTGGGCAACGATGTCGTGGGTGATATTTCTGTGGTGTTTGGGTTGGAATTGAGTGATACTCAGTGACTCTTTGGAAACCCAATAGTGGGAGAAATTAGTTCGCCGCCGCTTGATAAGCGGCTTATCGGGCAGAATATTTTTTGGCAGGCGCGGGGCAAATTTTTGGAAAATGCAAGACACAGTCATAAAGTTCAGGGTCCACCTCACTTGGCTCGATGAAGATTTGGTCATGCCGATCATTGGATGGGCCATCATGTTTTATATGGATATTCTATTCTATCACTGAGAAATTCATGGTTTTTGGGCCAGAATCAGGTATTATAGACGAAAAAAGAAAAAGGACAAAAACTGTGGCTCGTATGAAAATCAGAAAATCTTGCTTAATACCCTCGTCACCTCGGCTGGTTGCTCTTCCGCATCCGACTTCTTCTTTGCAAGAGGGACTTGCTTGAAGGACCGCTTGACCTGTCGCACAGACTCGTCCGCCTGACCATCAGTTTCGTTGTCTGCCTTCCTCTTCTTGGTCTTGGCCTTGACCGCCATACCGTCCAGCATCTTTGCCTTCTCCACGTTCCTGACAAACTCCTTGTTCTCCTTTGTCGACTTGCTGATTTCGGCTCTCATGCGGCTGGTGCGCTCTGCGTTCTCGACAGCGATTTGTTCTGTGAGGTTGTGCCACTTGAAGCCCTTAAGGTATAGCAGGTTCCACAAATCGTCGTGGTAGTAGCCGCCCTTCTTGCCGCCAATGGTGCGCGCGTTGAGAAGATCGCAGACAGCCTTGGCGTCCTTCTTTTTGGTGAACTCTACCCAACCCTCGGTGTAGGAACGCTTCTTGTTACCGCCGGCCTTAACGCGACGGGCATGCGAAGCTGGGTCTTCGGGAGCGAGGAAGATGCGGTTGATGGTGCCGTAGGGTTCGAGGAGGGAGCGCAGCTTAGTGGGCTTCATGAAAGGCGGTATGCGAGAGAGGTAGACGACGCCTGACTTCTTGATAGCAGCTTCGGAGGCGACGAGATTCTTCTTTGTCAAAGTTTTCGTAATATCGGGGAGTTCTGTTGATGTGGTGTCTTTTGATTTGCGCTTAGGCTTTTCAGGCTGGTCCTCCTTCTTGTCTTCCTTTGGCGTCTTCTTTGAGCCCTTCTCGATAACCTCGTCCTCGTCGTCGCTAGCATCGCAATCATCATCGCTTCCTAGATCATCTTCGGAGTCGGAGTTGGCTTTCCGTTGCTTTGCGCTGCGGCCACCCTTTCGCATATCGTCTTCTTCGGAGTTGTAGCCGACATCGCTTTCTCCATCGCTGTCGGCGATCTCGAGGAACTCATTTTTGGTTTCGGGCGCCATATTGAATAATGAATGCGAGCGAATGGCAGCTATTGGGATTGGTGTCTCCCTATGTGAGGCTGGAGAACTGATTGTAGAAAAAAAGTAAATCGCTGATAAGATAAGGCGTCGCGATCCCTTACCTTAGTTAGTAGCTTGCAGGGGTCTATCGAGAATTGGAGAACAGGGTCATGTGACTTGGAGGGGTAGATAGCGACGTCACTGATAAGAGGTTGAATTGGAGGGACAACCTTTGTATATAGAATGGTCCAAGATATAGAAAGATTGGTTAACTGTCTTGCCTTCTAATAATAGTTATGGAATATAATGATGATATCTGGTTTCTTATGTTTATAAACAATTTCAATAAACCACACTACTCATATTTGCCACGGTGAAGTTGTTCAATTGTATCCAAGCTCAACCTTTACCATTTGGTTACCCTTGAGTGAAACATGATATAATAAACTGAGCATGAGCTATCTTCTTTTCAATCAATCTCATGACTTCTCTATCCGTCCCAAATTATATTATCATGCCTTATCAATTCGCGGCGGGGTTTCTATCATGACCCTGCCGACGTCGGTACTTGAATGTACTGTAGGTAGTCCATAAGACGTGGGGCAATACCGCGAGCCGCGAGCCGCCAACCGCCGTCATGGAAGATGCTACCTTGAAAGAGATAGGCGGTACCTACTTCTACCTGCCTGCCTTAGGTTTACTCATGACCTCCAGCTCATATACTCCACTTCCAACCTCAAAAGTGGCCAACTACAAAGATATAGTCTGACTGCTATTGCTCTTTCTTTCAACTCACTCTCTCACATAAACCACCCAACATGTCTGTCGAAACAATCACCACAATCTCCCCAAACACAAATGAGGCCATCCTCACCAGGAATGGCGCCTCTGCTGCCGACCTTGAGTCTCTCCCCAAGGTTGCCGCTGAGGCTTTCCAGAGCTACCGCAAGACAACACTAAAGGAGCGACAAGCTATTGTTCGCAAGTTCCTTGATGCTCTCATGGCCAAGAAGGATGAGCTTGGTGAGGAGTTGACTGTTCAGATGGGTCGTCCCATCTCCTACACACCCGGTGAGGTTGCCACAGCTGTGAAGCGTGGTGAGTATCTCCTCAAGATTAGCGACGAGGCTCTTAAGGACACCGACGGTGAGCCCGAGAAGGGCTTCAAGCGCTTCATCCGCAAGGTCCCTGTCGGACCCGTTCTCATCATCTTTGCGTGGAACGTAAGTGTTGGCCTCGTTTTGCTGCTTCTGCATCGCATTAGTTCCGTCACTGACTCTGTCTAGTACCCTTATCTTATCCTGGTCAACTCTCTTATTCCCGCTCTTCTTGCAGGATGCAGTGTAATCCTCAAGCCCTCACCTCAGACCCCTACCATCGTGGAGCGTGTGACCGATCTCCTCAAGGAGTCGGGCTTGCCGGATGGCGTTTGCCAGTACTTCCACTGCGGCTCTCCTACAATCATGGAGACTATCGTGCGCGATCCCAAGATCGAGCTGGTTTGTTTCACGGGCTCTGTGGCTGGAGGTCTTTCTGTGCAACAAGCTGCGTCTGACCGCATTGTAAATGTCGGTCTGGAGTTGGGTGGCAAGGACCCGGCATATGTCCGATCAGATGTCGATATCGATTGGGCTGCTGCAGAGATTGTTGATGGTGCCATTTTCAACTCTGGACAGAGCTGCTGCTCTCTTGAGCGTGTGTATGTTGACGAGAAGATCCACGACCAGTTTGTTGAGGCCGTGCAAAAGGTCCTCAAGAGCTACAAGCTCGGAGATCCTTTTAACAAGGAGACTCAGATCGGACCTGTCGTTTCAAAGCGATCAAAGGAAGCTGCCGAGGAACACATCAAGGACGCCGTCGCCAATGGTGCCAAGGATGCGACTCCCGAAAACGAGACTTTCAGCAACCCTCCTCCCAAGGGTAACTTTGTGAAACCCACCCTTCTCACGGGCGTCAACCACAGCATGCGGGTCATGACTGAGGAGTCATTTGCCCCAATTAGTAAGTTTTACGACGAGATTTTGTTAATCTAGTGCTGACCATGATACAGTTCCCGTTATGAAGGTCAAGGACGACAGCGAGGCCATCAAGTATATGAACGACAGCGAGTTTGGTCTGACCGCCAGTATCTGGACCAAGGACACAGACAAGGGATACGAGCTGGCCGAGGATGTGGAAGCCGGCACCGTTTTTGTCAACCGATGCGATTATCCGGCACCGGTACGTTCTCTTTTCCGCCACAAGCACAAAGGGCTTTGCCTTGTGTAATGAGTGACATTACTGACCGATTGACAATAGGATCTGGCATGGACTGGCTGGAAGAACTCTGGTAAGGGACAAACACTTAGCAAATTTGGCTTTGACCAGTTTGTTAAGCTTAAGAGCTACCATCTTAAGGATTACCCCAACTAGAGGGGTTGATGATGAAAGAGAGGGATTGTTAGTTGAACACAGTCAAGATGTTTGACGACAATGACTCTGAATAACGAGACGACGTCTGTATTAAAATGAATCAAAATAAACTGCAAGCAAATCTGGTATTGTTTCCTACGATGCACACATCATTTCTCTTAGCGACTGGGCTGTCTCTAGGAAGTATCGAAGTGTTTCCCCTGGCGAGAAGGAACCGACAGAAGCGGGTGAGACGAGACGTTTTCGATAACGGGCAGCCAAGACAGGCACTGATGAGTATCGACATAAGCTTTTTTGGGTAATGAATGAGAATGAGAAGAGGCTGCATTCGGTAATTTATCGCTGAGTCGAACAATCTGCGACAACCAGTCACACTTGAACTTGTGAGTGGCAGAAGAGATGACGACATGAGACTCAGGCAATATGAAGTGTCAATGTTTGCATGTGAGATTATTTTCTATTGAGGCTATTCAATTATTAGTATTGACTTGGTTTATCTATCCCTCTTTAGGGTTGTTCGTTGTTCGTTGTTCGTGAACCTGAGTTTGATGACCGCCTCTCCCTTTTCTTGTATACGTTGCACGAGAAATTGGCTTAGAGACGCCACGCCACCGCATCTTTCTTCGGTGAAGGGCAGAGAGAGAAAAAGGATGCCCGGCATTAAGTATATGATATTGAAGGTGCCCTTGTACATGGATGTAATTTCATTTATAAGCAGTGGGCCAATAAATGCCATACAAAGGAGTCACGTCAGTTTGACCGTGCACTCTATCGATAAACTAACATAAAATAGTTTGCAGACTAGAAAATCCGAATATAGAACCATCAGCCAAGCTGTGTCCTCCTTGTGGCCTCTGCCTACCGTTTTCTTTGACTGGTGACCCCCCCTCTTTCGTCGCACCAACTTAGACAAGTCGCCCTCAGCTGAGACACTAGTTCGGGGCGGTGGAGTGCAGAAATTACAGTGCACCCGAACCGCTGGAATTCCAGTGTGTTTGGCAACATTCCAGAACAATTATAGGCAGTTTCTCCCTGCGCCTGCACGCGGAGGGATAATCAGTAGTCAGTGACCACAACATTTGCCTGCATCTGCAGTCAGACTTGTCTACTTCTCTCTTCGTCAAGCTCGTACCTTATATTAATTGGCATTTGCCTCTTTCTTTCTGTTTAATCTCCATCTTTTTTATTAGTGCTTAGATCTTGTACTGCCTGTGCTTGTCATTTTTGTTAATGTACAGCACATACATTCCTGTCCTTCTTTTTCCTGATACTGTCTAAACTCACTATAACCCTCTCTCATTCTACAGGCTACTTATACCAACCAACCTTCACTACTCATTCCAATCTACTCCGGTACCTTACATTAGTGAGACTCAGACTTGAATCTCTTTGTATCAAAAACATACCAGAGTCAAACTCCACCAACCACTCACACTCTCTCAATTCAAAGGCCGCGTGCCTTTTCCCTTCTTTGTTCCTACCTCTCTTAGACTGTCAGACTAAACTACTAAAACAAAACGAGGCGTCAGCTTCAGTTAACGTTACCGCACTGACAATCTATTTCATCTTACTCTACTTTACTTTATTATTTCTCTCTCTATACTTCCTTCCTCAATTTCCCGCCTTCTTCTCTCTCTTCACAAAATTCCAATCATCCGCCTTTCTTCTTCCTTTCAGTCAGCCTCTTTCCCAACCATTTTAACTTCAGCTCGGTTCTGGAACACCAGCCCTGGTTTGGCTTTCTACTTCTTCTTCTTCTCTCTTCAAACGTCGCCACTTGACCCTTCTCTTCTCTTCTATAAGAGAACCATCTCCACAACGTCGACTTAATGGGATCCGCAGCTCTTTACACTTCCGAGAGACGAGATCCTCGGTGTTTTGATCTTCCCTTCGGCAATCGACTTCGATCTTCTACAATGCATATCTCAGACGACTTCCACATGCTCCGAGAGCGTGTTCAGACTATCGTTCGTCAACGACGTCGCAAGGAGAAGCGGAGCTTGGATATTGTAAGTCAATGCACTTTTCAGGGTTCTCGACTGGTTCCTGAGCTAACGTTTTACTTACAGTCTGCACCATTCAACTTTGAGAAGAACCCTGTCAATTTGCCAGGCGTATCAGATGAACAGCAAGTCCCCTCTTATACGGGTCAACATCTCAATCATCAAAGCTAACTTGGCTCTTCAGACTCGCTATGCTTCGAGAACAAGCTGCCGCCAGCCGAATTGGCATCGCAGACCCTCCCAGTCCCGTCGCTCCGCGCTCACCCTGTTCAACATCAAGCCTCTTCTCCCACCCAGTTCGACCAGCCATGAAGTCGGTTCACACATCGAACTCGGTCTCCTCCACCGAGAGTCTTCACTAATCGAATGTCGACACGTTAATCAACCTTGTATTGCTTTATTCTTTCACGGCCATTTAGAAGTTTGTTTAGGACGAGGCGTCATCATCCTAGAAAAGGGAAAACACATCAATTGTTTGTTTGGGCAACACGCTTCGCGGGAAAGCTACACACTATTGTTATTGGTATTGTACGATAATGAATCACTGGGATGAAAAAGAATGGAAAGGGCATCTACGGGACCATGGGCATGGGAACATCAACATCAAACAGAACATCATCATACCCGGCGTATAATTTAATCTGATAATTAATCCTTTTACTCTTCATCTCCTCCTGGACCCCTAAATTTGATATCACACGAATAACATGACATGACATGATTTGTACTCACTATAATGTTTCTCACGCGCGTTGTTCAGGAATGTGAACGAAACAAAAGTCGTTGGTGGGGAGAGCGCCATATCATGGTATGTCATGGCATGTTTCATTTCATTTGCATGTTTAAGACATGCATGCGTCCTCGCTTCACTTCTCTCAGATTAGACCCAGCCGGCGTACACGTCCAGACTCTCGGAGCGAACACCTTCCATCTCTCCCGTAACGCCGAGCAGTTTGACCGTTGTGCCCTTCTCAGCTGCCCACTTCTCCAGGAACACCTCTACTCGCTTCTTGGTCCCCTGATCGTCCTTCATGAGGAGAGCAAGGGCATCGTAGCCTCCTGCACCGGGAACAACGCCACCGTAGACTCCCTCGACGGTGCTTAGGGCGTCAAGAAGCTCGGTCTGGCTCTGGGGCTCGATGGGAACATCGCTGGCAGTACCCATCTCCCTAATCTTCTCTCGCACGGCACCGATCTTCTCCGGCAGTTGCGCAACATCACCAGCGTTGAGAGTGGCGATCAACTGCTCGTTACGCTTCTGTAGCTCATCCCAAAGTGTCTTAGACTCATCGGGGTTCGTAGCCTTCCATGCGAGAACCTTCTTGACCATGCCAACAGTCTTGCTTCCGCAGTCGACATCGCACATACGCAGAACAACGCCCTTAGGCATGATGACAGCGTCCTTAAGAACCTCGACGTCCCACTCGGACTCGCCGTCAACGAGCTTCACCAATGCATCAGCAAAACCAGCCGCGCCGGGCTCAGGGATCTTGCTTAGTGTGGCGGGAGAGAAGCGCCTGTACCTGCAAGATCCATAAACGGCGGTCGCGACATCGAAGCCCGAGCCAACCTTGCCCTGTGCAGCGCAGTGGGCAGCCTGCGCCAAGTTGTGCAGTGTCCTCTTTCCCTTGTCAGAATCAATGTTGAAGAGGTCCTCTGGCAAGTAGTGAACGAGGAGTGAGGCAGTCAGTGAGGTGACAAGAGCAGCAGACGAGCCAAGACCAGTCTTGTTAGCATCACCCAGAGTCACAGGGAACTTGGCGAAGCGGCCTGAACGGGAGGTATCAGTTTCTGAGTGAGAGTAGTAGTCGTTGTCTGCGAGGATGATGAGACGAGTAGATGTCAAGCTGTGGCTGGGACGCTGTCCACCGACACGGTCGATGTAGGTGAGAGCATAGCTGAGAGTGGTCTCGACGAAGGGATTGGGGTTGATCTGAGCTCCGCTACTGAAGAGTGAGTATTACACAGTAAGTATAAAGCTTTTGATATAGAGTTTTGTGTTGATGAGATAATGATTGGTTCAAGTCAGTCGGATCATGATGATCGCCGAACCTATCATGGACTCGAAGCTGTTTGGAGAACTGACATGTCTCACAGCGATAGCACAACCGCATATCGAGCTGGCTCATGATTGTGAATGAAGAATACCACTTACACTTGCAATTGGGTCACCTTGATACCACCGCCCTCACCAGCGAGATGATATCCATACCGCCATTGAGCCTCGAGGAACTGAGGGCTATCAACCACAATCTCAGTAAGCTGCACGCCAGCAGTGGTGTGAATGTCACCAGCGATGATATTGATGCGAGCGTTCAGACCGAATACAAAAGCAGTGTACTCCTGGTCTAGGACGAGATATCCGCCAGCGAGGAAGACCTTGCCAGGGGCAGAGACGGCGATGGTGGGGTGCTTGAGGGTCATTTTGGTGGTATATATACTAGGCTTAGGCGGTCAAGACAAACAAATGGGATAAGAATAAAGGCTGAGGCTCGTATAAGATAGAGAAAGAGTAGGTATCGGTGATTCGGAGTAATATTCCCTATCCAGAATTGTCTGTAATAGATGCAATACTACCGAATTGAGAAGAATCATCAAACTCCAGCGGGGCCTCATTTCTAGAGAGCACAGTGTTTCTGATATCTACTGCAACAGTATTCACACTGTAGTATAGGAGGCCATCAGAGAATGAATCGTCCAATAACATTCATTCACTTCAAGCTTTACCAGACTTTCGACCAACTTTGGCTCAAGTCTTGAGTTTAACATGAGCAAGTTATCTAACGATGATGCCAGTTACACGTCACCTTGATCAAGTGCCGAAAAGATACACTCGTTCAAAAATCCCAACAAATAACATTCACGATTCACAAGGACACACATATTGAGAGACTTGTAGTTTATGACAAACCCGTCATTTCTTCATTGTTATAATGTATTGATGGTACAAGCAGCAGGACCTTCTGCTATGCTTTCCCTTGCTTGAATCGACCAAATATCTCATCTCCTTGGTCTTCATCTTTTCCTCCCAACTGAAATAACAAGGCCCGGCCCCTTCTATGCTGCTAACATGATAATGACATGCAATGTAATGATTTCCCTTTCTTGGAGTGGTGATGATCTATCCAGGGAACGTCCGGCCCCAAATTCAAATCATTCAGAGGCAAACGCTCCACATAAAATCCTTTTTTTTTGATTCCCAAACGCCTTCCCTTCCAAGGGTTCGAGGGCAACCAGAGCCTCTCGAATATGACATTCAACTCATCAAAAAATGTCCCCGAGTATAAAGACAACCAACCCAACCAATCCATAACCAATCCAGCCAAACCCCACCTTCTAATCAGAACAACAGGGTATCAAGCACATTACGCCAACATAAAAAAACATTACCATTTCCACATCAACAAATGCTCATCAAATAACTCCCCTACTCGACAACTTCTTGTTGTCCTCCTCCGAGAAGCTCGAGGACCTTGTTGACAACAGCACTGGGGTAGCCGCGGGTGAGCATCTCACCAACGACACCCTTGGCTTCTTCTCGTTGCTCCACGGCTAGGTATGCACGAGTCATAGCCTCATATGTACTGGGTTCTCGCTTCTCCCGACCAACGGCATCGTAGATGCCCTGGGCCTTCTCGATCTGCTTCTCAGCTGCCCAGCCGTGAATCAGTGTGTTGGCGATGTAAGGAGTCAACTCCACACCCTTGCTTCGCATGTGTGCAAGTACAGGCTCGGAAGCAGCAACCTGGTGGTTGGCAACCATAGCCTCGAAGAGAGCTTGGTACAGGCTGGCGCTGATAGGAACGAGAGACTCCTTGACGACGGAATCGAACATCTTCATGGCACCTTCCATATCGTGCAGAACACATCCCCTAGCATGAATGAGGGAAGCGTAGTGAACGGGCTCAACGCGCTGACCCGAAGCACGGATCATGCCCAAGACCTCCTCAGCGGCCTCCATATCAACTGGGTCGAGAGTGGCGTGGGTATCGACAAGGAGCTTATAAGTGTGCACGGTAGGAGCTATACCCTTAGCCTTCATGCGCTCATAGTAAGCCAGAACCTTTGACTTGTCACGCTTGGTGTTCAAGAAAAATTGCATCATGCTGTTGTAAGGAGCAGGGCGGGCCTTGTAGTTAGGCATGGCTTCCATCTCGTCAAATAGCGTCTCAGCAAACTTCTCGTCACTAACACGGCAAAGAGCGTTGACAATGGTACCGTAGGTGACAGACGTAGGCTTGATTCCGAGGTTTCTCATCTCACCAAAGTAGAAAAGGCAGTCGTCGATACGGCGCGCCTTTCCAAGCTTACCGATGAGAGCATTGTAGAGGAATGAGCTAGGCTCAACACCCTCGGCCTTGGCACGGTGGAAGATGCGGACAGCCTCCGAAGCTTCGTCGAAAGTCTTGGTTGAATCCTTGAGCGTGGTGATGTACAGACCGAAAGTGTTTGCAGAGGGACTGGCGCCGATTTCGAGCAACTCCTGGTGGAACTGCTCAGCGCGTCCGCGGTTGCCCACGGTAAGGCAAGCGCCTACCATAGCGTCGAGGATACTGGACCACCCATATCGAACAACAGCAAACTGAGGCAGGACAGGCATGTCGGCGCGGGCCATGGCAAGAATGTCGTAGCACAGATCGATCTTGCCATCACGAGCAGCAGCAGAGATGAGCTTGGCGTAGGTGATGTAACGAGGATGTCGGCCGGCACGTCGCATGTTTCGGAAACGGTTGAGAGCCTCACTGAGACGAGGTCCCTTACGACCATGGTTACCCTCAAGATCTTCGGCAATGAGCGAAGAGCCCTTGAAGTCGGTGGTGTGGGCATAAGGGTCGTGGGTATCCTCAAAGCTGGGAACGGCAGGAGCTGGCATGTAAGAAGCGGGCGCGGGCTGTTGTGTGAAGTCGAGGACTTGAGGGGCGAGCTGACGGGGGTCAACAATGCCTCGAGTCTCCATGTATCGAGAGATGAACTCAACGCCCTCCTCGACCTCCTCAACGAGATGGGACTGGGCATCGGAAAGTGATGCTCGAATTCGCTGGAACATCATCTCGGACTGAGCCAAACCCTCTGCAACCTGACCAGAACCAATCAAAGCAACGGCATACATGGCTGTAGGCTCAATGAAGGAAGTAGTAGCTTGTACCTCGGGGTGGTTCAGAGCTTGCCAGTACTTCGAGGCGCTAACAACATCACCCTCACGGACGCTCATAGCGAGAAGGGCAGTAGCGGGAGTCACCAGGTCATCAGCATAAGAGGGCATACCACCGTAAGCGGCGATGGCGGTTTCCTTGTCGCCCTTATCAGCAGCAATGGTAGCAATTTCGCTCATGGCCTTTGCACGGGATTCAGCCTCAACAGACTGTGCCCATTGGAAAGCCTCCTGGTAGATACCACGGGTGATGAAACCCTTCACAAAACCAGTAGTAACCAGAGCATCCTTGATATCAGCAGCGCGGACACCATACTCGGTAACAATCTTCGAGAAGAACTTCATGGCACCCTCAATCTTGTCTGTAACCACGTAGGCATTGATAACTGCTGCGTAAACCTCAGCGTCAAGTCGGTCGTTGAGGGTAGTCTGTCCGTCATCGTGAGCAATAGCCAGGTTGCGGTACTCATTGTAGCATTCGACAGCGCTAATCAAGTCGCCAGATGAGGCGAAAGCAGTAATCATGGTAGGGAAAACAGCGGCGAAAGGGGCGATGTGGCTAGCCTCCATGTGCTCGAAAAGACGGAGCATATCAGCAACACGTCCGTCCTTAGCACAAGCAGTAATCAGCTGGTGGTAAGTCTCGGCAGTGTACTCGGCAACGTCAGTATCAACTGATGTGTCGAACAGCTTGATAGCCAAATCAAGGCGGTCGTCCTCGCAGAGAATAGCATGCTCGAACTCGTGAGAGGCGAGCATGAACTTGCCAGGCTCATCCATGCCACCGAATCGTACCCGCTTGTCTTCCAAAGCAGCCTTCAGCTCAGCAACCTCAAGGCATCGAGAGGCCAGAAGACCGACAAGAATGTTAAAAGTGTCAGCATCTGGCGAAACCTTCCTCCTGAGCATATCAGCGTATACGTCGAGAGCCTTGGAAACAATCTCGATCTTCTTCATGGGAATATGAATAGCAGCCAGCAAGAGAGCATTGTAGGCACCAGCGATCGGTTGAACGCCAGTTGCCAACATGGCCTCGAACACGGCGGGAATCTCGACATAGCGGCCATCATGAGCAAGCTTGTGAAGATGGTCGGCATAAGACAATGACTGGGGGTCTACTGGCGGACTGGCGCTTCGAGCGACACTTCCGGGAGTTTGCGACCTAGAAACCGCTGGCGATCGTGTCTTGAAACCAAGGGATGAGATCGGTCGTCCTTCGGCGACAGCATTCTCAGCCGCCTCCTGCAGACTTCGTACCTCAAGCTCGCGCTCGAGAGCAGCATCGATGTGCGCAAGAGCTGCTTGGTCCTCAATTGACAAGTTCGACTTGACTTCGGCATCCTCGATCAAAGCCTGCTCAATAACCTCTTGAGCGGCGGCTTGATCTTTGGTAAGAATGGAAGCCGCGCTAGGCTTCCACTCAATACTCTTCTGGAAATCGAACTGGGTCCATTCGGAATCAACTTCACCGGTGGCCTGCTGGTGTTGCAAGGCCTCGAAATACGCGTCTAGACCTCCATGGTTTTGGCCGGGGCGATGCTCTACGGACGGAAGGCCCGAAGATGCTGTGCGCTCAGTGTGGAAGGCGGAGTGAAGCTGGAGGTTAGAGAAGCGATTGAGTCGGTTGGTCTTTCGTCGGACAAAGACAGGTCGGTTTTGTGAATTTAGGACGTGAGGGTGTGTGGCGGCAACAACGGATTGCGCGTAACCGTGTGTTGTAATTGACTTTGCGAATGTTGATCCTTGACGGACGAAATTCGAGTAGAGGGAGGAGTATATGGTGGGCATTTAGAAATCACCCAGACGGGGAGGAGAGGAGACTAAAGAGTCTCTGTCAGTAACAGGTACAATTGGAAAAGCAATGATCGCTGTGTGTCAAGTATATTCAAGTGCCGTTGGAAGTCGAACGATTGTGAGGTCTGGTCGAACCACGCGATCTGGGGAGGCGTGGAGGAAAAGTGGTGTGTGGTGGACCGAAAACGTTGGAAGTGTCACTTACAGTAGAAAAGAATCGATTATATCAATTGCAGGTTCATTTGACAGCAAGTACGCCGTCAAACAAACGCGCCGACCAGAATAATAGATAAATGGTTAGGGGAGGATGAGGAAGGAAGAAAAGGTAGACAAGATCGAAAGAAGAAAATTATGACTACCGTTTGTCCGGGGTTGGTAGATTTGTCCTCGGGTGTTAGTTAATTGAGATGATGAGTATTCGACACGGACCCAGGTCTTAGGGTCGGGGGAGTGGCTTCCTTTTTTGCTCTTTGCCTGATGTACAGTGGAACCTTGGCAGGTACTATTCAGTCTACGCCTTTTCCCTCTACAAACCTACGGTATTTCTCGCTACAGCGCACGTCAAGAGGCAGCTTAGTGTGGGGAAACCCTCACTGAGCCCTCGAAATGGGGCATTTTTAGTTCGTTATCGCTACTTCCAAAGTACCTAAACATCATCGATGATGGCTGCGTGTCCGTGGTGGCCTTGTCGCGGCGCGGAGTTCGGATCATGAGTTTAGTTGGTTGCAGCGGACTGTTCAGGGCTCCGCAGTGGCTCATCTGTGGGTGTCGACAGGGGTCGAGGTGTTCTTTTTCAGCGTGTGGGTGCCTGGGAGACTAGCTGCTGTAGGTGAGGTGCGGGAGGTTCTGGAATGACTCAAGGCCCTGTGCCTGTACGAGCTGTTGTCTCCAGCAAGTACCGTAGAGTTATTCTCATTCAGCTCCGTCTCCAGTCCCGTCTTTTTTTCTCTTACTCAATCAAACTTTCCTAGAACCTCCGGAGGTCCTCAGAAGCTTCCAGTTACAGTACAGTACAGGTCCAGTTCTAGTTTCCAGGTGAACCACAGGTGAAGATGATGGATGTCTCTAGGTCGGTCTCTTTACTCTTCCCACTCTAACTATCTGCGGGGGGCTCTAATGCATGTGGCAAAGATTCAAACTGCTTAGTCCATTACACGCGCATTCACACCGATCATTGATGCTGCAAAAGATACAGACAGTAGCGAGCAGATTCTCGAGTTCCCACCGCTCGCATAAAATTGTAGCATCCATCAGCAAAACATCCTAGGCCATTTGAGTTGGCGTTTTGGAGAACCCATCAAAGTTGACTGTCATTGGCCAATCAGCTTTCACGGAATTCTGGAAACTCCCTCTTGTCCGGCATGCAAAAGTTTTCCCTTCCTTGCTTTTCTGTAGGTTATTTTTCATGATGTTACCTTTTTACTGGGTTCTCTCTGTAGGATCGCCAAAGATTCAGTGCATGTTACCAGGAATATGAGACATGCACACAAACGAACGAATATTTGTTTGAGTGTCTGTATTTTCTGAAATAGTTTTGTGAATCTGCAGGTTTGACGCGCACGACCCTTGGTCTGACCGCAAGTGACGATTCGTTTAAGCGAGTAACGGAACCGTTTTCTAGGCCTTAGATGCAGACAATTGCTTTACGTTTCGATATTGACCCATTCATGATCCTTCCATCGTCAACAACAGACCCAGGGCTCAGGGCCAAGGGTGCAAGGGTCCTCAAGCAGTCGTCGATTTAACTGAACTAGGACTCATCCAACTCTGGACTCTGATGGTGGCCACGGCGATAACAAACCGGTGATTTTGTCCAGCCCTCCCTGTCTTAGACTTCCTTAGATGTAGTTTTTTTCAGCTTTGATTGGACGAAAAGTCTTGGTCTATGATTAGCGTCAAAGTCTGAGGGAGAAGCCGGGACTCCAAGTCCAGCCTGTCGGGTTGCTGCCAGATGTCCCGCTCATAGAGGACACCTGGACCTCGATAACTTCAATCTTTTTATCGATTTGTTGTTGTGTAACGAACATTTTTTTTTCTTCTGTATTTTCCTCTGCTATTTCAGACAGGGGATCATGCTGGTGGATCAAGGCGGGCCATTTACGATAACTGAATTACTGATGGAAAAGAATTCGCTGATACCGTCGATTGTGAATAATGGTACTCATCTATCGGTATTTCTGCTTCGAGCGAAACCTACCAATTCCTACGTCAACACACAAGTCTTGACAAGGTGTGGCAAACAACTTTAAAATCAACCTGGCTGTGTGTGAAAAACAACATTGTCAGCTGCTTAAGATTGACCTACCAAAGAGGCCGGGACAAGTGTACACACCAGCCCCCAAAGTCTTACTCATTGGGTTCAACCTCCGGGGCAATTAGTGCAACTCCGTCAACCCTCCGTCAACCCTCCGTCAACCCTCCGTCAACTCCTCCATTTGCCCTAGCCACAAAGTAAAAAACACAACAAGGCTTTATCATGATGAACAGTCATCATTCATCATGTGGCGACGTCGACAAAGTGATGCCTGGGGTTCAGGGCTGTAATGGAGTACGACAGAACTGCAGGGCTGCAAATGCAATTTTGGTCCGTCACATGGATTGCCCATCAACGAAAAAGATCCGTTTCCAGCGGATGCTACGGATCAGTACATATGGATTCTCTACCTACCTACATAGTACTTTCTGGCTGACGACAGTTCTACTATAATCCCTGGCCTGTCAGTTTTCTCGCTAGAGATAAATAGCCGAGTCCGATCGGGCGTAAAAGACCAGCCCGGCATTTTCGCTTCTTTAACTCCATCAATATCCGTCTAAATATTGGAGATTTTGGAGAATTGGAGATTAGACGTTGCTTCGCTCCAGTCCTTTATCAGATGGTTCGCCCGACGACCTCTTTATCAATCCGTAACAAACCCGGACCGGAGTTCAAAACCTGATCAACTTCCGACGCTATTCGGAGCAAAGTTATGAGTTGCTTATGCCTGGGATTCACGGCATGTAGCCAACTATCAGATTTCTCGCAACGTCCCAATGTGTACACAAGAAGCACTCTGACGTAGCACTCATTTGCCAAAGACTTGCATTCCCGTAGGTAGATTGCATTGTGTCACCTGAAGCGCATTGGCGCTGCTATGCATGGCATCCCTTTGCTTACGCAGTTTCAGCTTTCGCGATTCTACGGAATCTCAATATGCCTCGCAGCTACACATTTACCTTTCAGCGCCATTGCGTATCGATCTTTTTCCTCTTGAGGAATCTCGGGGACTTATCGACAGCAGTCATGAGACTCTTCCCAATTCCACGATGACGATATCGCCTTCAATCCAGAGTGATGCTTCTCTGTAGTCCATCAGCAATCCCGTAACAATTTGTATGTAAATCATGGAGAAGATCTAGACCACGTTCGATCGGCGTTATCAGTAGATAAGCGATAAGATAGTGTTTCTCCACTTAATATTTTTTTCTTCAATGTATCGAGAATATCGTAAGCCCCACGTATAGTCTATATACCAACTTCAACACCGCAACAATGGCTGACGATGGAATGCTGCTAAACTTCGACCTGGGGTCTGGTCCTATCAAGCCCCAGGTCAAGTTCAAGGGTGGACGCTGGCGCGACAGGAAGCAGGCCGAGAGGTCAACAAGGATAGCGTCCGGGAAACAGACTCAGACCAAACATTCAAGAGATGGAACCGACGAGGGAAGGTCTTCAAAACGACAAAGGACAGATGACGATGGCTTTGATGATGATTTTGATTACAAGTCTGCCAATAGAAATGCTTCGCGACCAAGACAATTCGACGCCGATGGCCACGGACCGCCTCGAAACCCCGATGGCAAGCCAAAACAGATTATCTCACGTCTCTTCTCGTTCAATCCTACTCAAACAACAGAGGTGCAAGAGAAGCAGGAGGAATGGACCGCTCCAGAGGCTACCAATGCGCCGCTATCAGATGTTGCTAACTTTGGTACCTTGACGATATCCGCCCGACTGGTTGACGAACTTGGCAAGATGAACCTGGAGCGACCCACGGCTATTCAGAACAAGGTCATCCCTCACATGCTGACGAGCAGCTCCGATGCGTTTGTCCAGGCCGAGACTGGTTCTGGAAAGACGTTGGCCTACCTTTTGCCCGTCCTACATCGCGTTTTGCAATTGAGTGAGAAGGGCAAAGCCCAGATTCACCGAGACTCTGGCGCATTTGCTATTATTGTTGCGCCCACTCGTGAACTTGCCAAGCAGGTTCATACAGTCCTCGAGAAGCTTATTCGACCGTTCCCATGGCTTGTGTCGACCGCGATCACTGGTGGAGAGTCCAAGAAGGCAGAGAAGGCCCGTATACGAAAGGGTGTCAACTTCTTGGTCGCTACCCCCGGCCGACTCGCAGATCATATCGACAACACCAAGGCGCTTAACCTCAGCACGGTCCGATGGTTGATTCTTGATGAAGGCGATCGACTTATGGACTTGGGTTTTGAGGAGGATTTGAAGAAGGTTATTACAACGCTCAAGGCGGTTGAGCCTTCGGACAAGCTACCAGACGGAACACCGCTCAAGGCCCTACCGGAACGAAGAGTCACAGTACTTTGCTCGGCTACCATGAAGATGAACGTGCAGAAGCTTGGAGAGATGAGTTTGGCAGACGCGACATTCTTGGCAGCAAAGAAGGAGGAGATGGAGCTCGATGTGGATAAGGAGATGAAGGCGCCTGCGCAACTTCACCAGTACTATTCTGTGGTTCCAGCCAAGCTACGACTCGTTACCCTTATCGCGTACCTCAAGGCTACGTTCTCCAAGCGCGGCAAGACGATGAAGGCGATTATCTTTATTTCTTGCGCCGACTCGGTCGATTTCCATTACGAAATGCTACGGGATCCTAACAGCACCGACGCACCTGTAGCATCTTCCAAGGACGCAGAATCGGTTTCGAAGACAGTAGCAAAGGCGGCATACATTACCTCTCCAGCGAGCCCTGAGGTTGTTCTCCACAGAATGCATGGATCTCTATCGCAACCTATCCGTACGGCTACTTTGCGATCATTCTCGGCTTGCAAGTCGCCATCCCTTCTAATCACCACTGATGTTTCCTCTCGAGGTCTGGATATTCCTTCGGTCGATCTGGTCATCGAGTACGATCCCGCGTTCAGCTTTGCCGATCATATTCATCGTGTCGGTCGAACTGCTCGTGCTGGTAGACCTGGTGACGCTCTTCTGTTCCTCCTTCCCGGAACCGAAGAAGGCTATATCGAGCTACTAAAGCAGTCAACACCACCAACATCGCAATCATACGACTCGATCCTACAAAAGGGAATGATGAGCAAGCTCGAATTCCCGGTCGAGACGACAGCGAAACCGGAAGAGGGGCAGTCTTTCCATGACAAGGCGGAGACTCTCCAGTTACATATCGAACAGCGTCTGCTAGAAGATACCAACCGCCTAGAACTTGCTCGAAAAGGCTTCAAGTCCCACATCAGAGCATATGCTACGCATACCAAGGAGGAAAGGAAGCACTTCGATATTACAGAACTACACCTGGGACACACAGCAAAGAGTTACGGCTTGAGAGAAGCGCCCGGCGGCATTGGACAGGGTGTGGAGAGGAAGACTAAGAAGCGGACGAATAAGGGTGCTGAGAAGGAATCGGACCAGGCTGTGGGAGACGAGAGGCATAACCAGAACATAATCAGGAAGAAGAGTATGATGATGATGAATATGCCGGCGGACGAGTTCAATATTGGTTAGATACTGGGTACAGCGGCATTCCTTGCTTGAACTTGAGTTTTAGATCTACATTAAAAGCCGGACATGATGATCATGTCCATGATTATTTCTTCCACCTCTCTCCGTTCGTCCTTCCACACGTTGCCTCCTCTTAGATACGCGTCCAACGTCATGAATGTGCCAAGATCCTGGAACCATGACGATGCATCTCAAGTTGTCCTGCATCACGCAGAGATCTCGGAGTGCGAATCGAAATGCCATAGCTGCACAACAACGATGTCGTGATGCTGTCGTTGACCATTCACAGCCTCACAGACTGACAGCTAACGGACGAGTGCGCCACATTTGGCAGGTGTGTGGCCTCTTTCAAGGGTCCTGTAGGTCCAAGATTCAAGGCGCATGACATCAAAAGCTCACCACAAAGAATGTCTGGACTCTCTGTAGATGCCCTGCTAGTGACAGCTGTGCTACCCTATAATAATTCCGGACGGGACCACCTCTGCATGCCTCTCAAACACCGGAATGCGTAATTATGTGTCGAGGAACGTCATTTTAGAGATGCGGGAGGGAGGGATGTCAGAGTTGTGTGGCTGATGCTGTGAGCTCGACCCAATGAAGCTTGGGGATTCGCAGGATTTGACGTCATGCGGTGATGTAACTTGGCTGGTGATTTACATGCATCAGATATTCGAAAGATTCCAGGGGGATGAGAAGCAACATTTAAGAGAAGACTCCTGCCGCTGAAATCAAGTGTCTTATTCTTTAATCTACAAGATCACAAGTCTCAGTCTCAAACCTTGAACAAGACAAACACCACCACCAATCTATCACCACCAAAAACCACCATCATGAACAACAACCAGAACAAGAGCGCCGCTGGCAACGTCGGCGATACAGTCGGAGGAGCCGCCAACTTCCTCACCAGCACCTTAGGCAACACCGTCGGTGGCCTCGGCCGCACAGTCGGCAACGTTACTGGAGCCGCCACTCGCGGTGTTGGCGATACCGTCACCTCAGCGACCGGCAGCACTGGACAGCCCATCGGCGATGCTGTTGGCAACATCGGCACTGGAGTCCAGGGAGGACTTGACAGCATTTCCAAGGGCGTCGAGGACGCTGGCCAGTGGAAGAAGCGATAAATCATGATCAACGACAAACCAACAACAGACACGATACCACGATAATACGGGGATGGAAGATTGTAATACTGGAAGCACCAGGAACTGTATCAATAGTCAATACAAAATAACTACCTACTTGCGACTATACTGTCAATGAAGTAACACTGTGAATATGTGACCTGTATTTGTTCCGCCTACTCTCCCTGTCTGCTCACCACTGTGGTTGTGCTCCCATCTGCAGGTACACACACACACACAAGGCACGCCTTCCGTTTGTTGACCTGCCTGTAGACATTCAACGAAATTTTAAGAAGGCCGCACATGTCAGCACGACCTGGAGATCATCTTCCACCGTGGGCGTTCAAAGCAATCTTGGGTTTACAGCATTCACGCGGCGAGCATCCTTCCTCATGACCCGGCATCAAGCCAAGTGCACAATGAAAGAGGTTATAAATCAAAAATTACGCCCCCTATGGCCCCGAAGGACAATAGAGCATGGAAACGACTCCGCGATGTGCAATGCAGGCCTTCCATGCTGAGGAAGCCAATTCATGAGCTGGCCTCCTCGGAACAAGGTAAGTATGAAGAAGAAAAGAAAAAGAAGAGGAAAGGTTAGCAGGCAGCCGAGATTATATAGGCAGAATTTTTGGTTGGTCTGTGCGCAGAACATTAGGCGGCGCGCGTCGGCAGAATTTAGCGCACCACGAAAACACGTGACCGAACGATGCGCTCGGGAGCAGGAAGATCCGAGACGTCAGGGCCTGGTTGCTCGGGAGCAGGTGGAGATTTCATCTCCTTTGAGTTCGACGTTTACTTGGCGATAACTTCAATGTGACTAGGCCTGACCTTTTAGCTTCGGCCTGCCAGTGGGATATTTACATCTCTATGATCATGATTCTCCTCGGGAAGCGTTGCTTTACGATGTTAAAGATGGTCAAGAACTTAGCTAATATTTACTAAAACCTGACAAACCTATCAGTCGTGGCGCAGACCCACGTACGTCCTTGTTCGACGGTGCTTGATTGCGGTTCTGCAAAGACAAGTGTGAAGTCTAATTCTTCCAGCTTCCACTTTGAGATCTGTGCCCGGAACCGAGGTGTTGCTAAACCATAGCTCACATCGAAGTCTGGTTCAGCTGTAGGGTAAGATATATCGCTTGGACATAACACGGAAAGAATGTCAATTAGGACTACGCGAGTTTCATTGGCAAATTGCCATATTGGAACTGATATTCTATAGCAATAGAGGAGATATAACTATAGTATCTGGGTTTGGAAATTTGAGGGCGTCTCACCGACTTCGACAACATTAAGCGTTGCAGTACCCGTGCTACAGTAGATGTGGAGAGAACGGGAACTGTTTACCTCGGAATCAGAGTAACAGCATGGAATCCACATTTGGCATTAGAACGGCTGCCATACCGTAGTGAGAGGCAGATCGCGCTGATCAGAGTTTATTGTTTACTGGATGAACCTTACTATTGGATCGTTGTTTGTTGGCGCGCATGGCAGACTGCAGTCATCAATATCGCAACACTTCAACTTGATGCTATTACTGTTGGCATATGAGGCCTCCGGTCTAGAACGACCCATGAAGTCGCAAGACACGTAACTATTCCGAAGACTCGTAATCCCTCCTACCGACTTGATAGCGCTTAAGCAGATGGAGGTGATACAGGTACGAGAAGAAGTAGAGACTAACAATACTTTGACTGCCAAGACCGAAATCTGGGGTACAACTAGCCCCGGTACTTGAAACTTTTAGACCCTGAACCAAGCACAGGCACAGGCAATAGAAACGCCATAATACAGGCTGTTAACTAAGCCAAGCAGTTTCAACCTGACCGATCCGTTTACGGATACGGCGCAGGTCATCTCCTGTTTCGAATCTCACTGTGAGATCTATGGAGAGTTATTGAGCCTGCCCTATAACAATTGTTACCGAGGCTCGGGCCAAGACGGTCCTGAGTACTGATTAGGAGGCGGCGTTCGAAACTATTGTTTTTCGAAACAGGGCAGTATAACAAGGCGCCTATAGGCGAGCTATTCTTCGGCATCGCGTTGCCGACGTTGAAGATTAATTAATTGTCTTCGTATGTATCACTGCTAAGCGACATGGGGGTCGGGCAGTGCTACACCAAAAGTCTCGGGTTCGTTAAACGTCTGGTTTGATCTAGCGCCGCCCAGCCGAAAACCAAAACAATTGCGGTCGGAGTATCAAACCATCCGAACTGATAGATTTGATGCATATGCCGAGTGGGCGTGGCTGAGGCTGTGGGCGGCCGACATTGACCCTGTGCTTCACCCTTGTTTGAGGTTAGTAAGAGAGTTTTTGGCAGTTGTATCTGGACGACAGGGGTCAGGCTTGACATGTTGACTGCAGTCTGTTGGGATGAGTTGGGATAAGTATAAAGAGGATGGGAAGAAACATTGGTTTATCGAAATATCATCAAACAACACATTCTCATCTCAACTCTACAAAGATACCCATCACCACCACTCCAACTATCACCACCACCATCATCACCACCAAACAAACCACCACAACCACCAAAATGCACGCCTCTCCCATCACTCTTCTCGCTCTCTCCGCCAGCGTCGTCTCCGCTGCCAACCACGTTGTCAAGGTCGGAGATGGAGGTCTGACTTTCGAGCCCGCTGAGACCACAGCCAAGATGGGCGACACTGTCGAATTCCGCTTCTACAAGGGAACCCACAACGTCGCTCAGAGTGGCTTCGGCAGCCCCTGTTCTCCCATCAACAGCACTGCTTTCTTCAGTGGTACTTGGGATGTCAAGGAGGGCGTGAGCGACAAGGTCTTCACCCTCAACGTTACCTCTGAGGACCCTATCTGGTACTACTGTGCTGTTGGCGCTCATTGCCAGAACGGTATGGTTGGTGCTATCAACGCTCCGTAAGTTCACCTCTTCTCCACAGTCAAGATTCCGTATATACTAACAAGCTTAACAGTACCAGCGGAAACCGAACCTACGAGAACTTCGCCAAGGCCGCCGAGGAGGCTGATGACAGCACTGCTCCCCGATCTACTGGTGGTGGTGAGATCGCTACCGCCACCGGCACATGGGCTCCCTCAGGCACTGCTTCCAGCACTGAGACCGCCGCTTCCTCAACAGAGACCTCCGATGCTAACGCTGGTCTCGAGGCCCGTGGTGAGATCCGATGGGGTCTGATGGCCGCCAGCATGGCCATGGCCGGTCTTTTCGGTGGACTGATGATGTAGATACCCCCCTGTATCAGTCAATTGTGTTTTATGATTCATGCCCTGGAGGCATTTTATTGTCTAAGCTAGCTAGACTAGCCACTGGACTTTGTACATGAGCGTATAGACGACTTCCTACGGGAGAGATGATAATATAGATACCACTTTACTCGCACAATGCTTCCCATAAATCACTAGTGAATATGATCATGTTTCGAGCGGCTCTCCTCGAAAGAGTTAAGAAAAAAA